GGCGGCAGCAGCAGCAGCAACCAGTAACCATTGCCTGCCATCTATTGCCAGAGGGCTAACTTGTCGCTGAAGCTGCCAGTGCAGAAATCTGTTTCACTTTCTTGTCTTCATACATGCTAACGCGGGGCGAGATCGAGGGCCGAAGATACCCGAACGCACGCTGACTACCGCATGTTCTTGTCAATGGTCGTGAGTCGGAGAGATTCATTAGAACTTTTTGTGGATGTGGATATGGTTGTTGGTCGTTGGCCCGCCAGTGCGTTGGCAAGACTTGGCAGGACTACGGAGACATGGATTGGTGCACCTCCTGGTAAAGTAGATGAACGAGAAATGCAAAGTGAAACGACGGAGAGAGGAAGAAAGAGAAGTAAAGGCTCTCAAGGCTTATGAGCTAGGAAAGTTGTATGATTGGTTTGCGAACGGCACCAGCCTGGGTAGTTGAAGGCCACACAGTCACCACCATCGTCATCGAAACTATACACCGACATCACACTTCCAGTGCCATACCACACCAACGACTTTGACTACGGCTTAGTCGAGCGCCGGCGGCTGCTGCTGGCAGCTTTTCAAAACAAGTGCCGCAAAGTCGAGACGAAGTACTTTTTCTCGCATAGGTTAGGTTTAATCATGGGTAGAAGAAGATGAAAGAAGAAAAGTAATTGAATTTAGGGTTTTGTGCGAACGCTTGTCCGCTCCACGTTCATTAAAGTACGGATGAATGGGTGAGACGGTCAGGGCCCAACGCGGCTTTCTTCGCTGAGTGGACAGGAATAAATTAGGATAGGATGTCTGCGTTAGATCAACGCAGCTCACCATAACAGAATGGCAAACGTAAGGAAAACCAGCAAAAAGATAACAGACGAGTACGAAGTGATTGCTATCATCTGACGGCAAATGATTCGTTTTTGTTTGGTTAATCGCTCTGAGAAGAAGGAAGTGAACAAGGTCGAAAATAAAGAAACGGCAAACGCCTTAATCGTCGTTGAGGAGGAGCGCCTAATTGAGATGTTCCAGTGTTGACGGCAGGCGAGTGGCCTACATTGCACGACTTTTTTGCGCGCGAATTAGCGTCATTGGCCTTCGAATATAAGCTATTGAGTCCTATTTTTATCAGTGAAATTCTGCTGCAAATGGCGACGAGTTTGGCTACCAGTTTGCCATACACCGTCCGCCAAGCAATGTGCTATAGTCAATATTGGTTAAATTGTTCGATGAATCTGCCTTAAACTATAATCTATAACAAACTTACTTTTTGTTTTCTTTATACAGCAGTGCAATACACGCATTCATCTGCAGCTTCTACTCAGCTAGCCAGCACTCACTGGCTGGCGAAAGTCATCATCAGTGCGGCTATCAGTACTATCAATTTTTTTTCTTCATATGAGAATTTCGGTAAGACGTTCTAAACATTTTTATTACACGGACCAGACGACATCGAGCAAGCCGTCTTCGACACTATTAGCATGGCCTAAAACGACTAGTAAAATAGAAAGGAAAAAGCTACTCATTCACTGTTCATATGTGACTACATGAGATTTCGAAAGGATGATTAACCGGGGGATCCAACATTATTTTATGTTCGCTTCTTATTCGATTAGTTTCAGTTGACTTGCGGCCCATGCGCGCCTACTCTGTTGGGATTAGTGGACATTTTTTATTCATTTGCCTTCGACAGAAAATTACAGTACAAACGTGACACACTTGCCGCCTCTAGCGCTCTAGAAATCGTACGATTGAGGCCGACCGTTGACGACAATCATTTTAAGAGTTAATGCATACAGCTAGCCCCTCACTTGCCAGCTCGTACCATCGATGTGCCTGCTGCTGCTCCGGGTTTTGTCTCTGATTTGGGTCGCACTACGCCGTTTGTTTGTATACCCGTATCGACGCTGACTGGTGTCTCTCTTTTCGCATTTTCGGCAGCAATGGCCATTGCCACGCCGACAATTCTCAAGAAAGTTCCGTTCAATCTTATGGTCTGTCCCACGTCCGAATCGCGTGCGGACTTCCATTGACAAGATCTCTTGGTGGCCGGGAATCTCCAGAGCCTCCAGAGGGATGAGTAGGAGAACAACACAGAGACGACAGGACGGCGAAAGCTGGCCTGACTAAGGCCGTTGGCACATGTCCGCAGACGCTGCAGCGGCAGCAGTGAAAACGAAAATAGGAAAAGCCGCAGTACCCTTCTCTCTTCTTTTCTCGAAGAATCGAATCATTCGAAGGGATCGACGAAGGATTTTGTTGTTGATATTTATGTCCAACCGACTTGAGCAAAGGCAATGGTTCGGTTTGTGCTGCTTATGCCAGACATATCGTCTGCCTGCGCTGCTATCGCCTGCTGGCATGCGACTGGGCGCGCGTTAGATCGACATAGATAGTACAGACAAACTCAAAGAGACTTGGACTGGCTGGGAGTAGAGGGGGCAAAAGCGAACGAATCAGGAAGGTAGACTCTGATGCTGTAGAGCCTACGCCCGACTTCTTCGTCACTCAGTAAAGCCTTGTCTTCTGACCGACATGGCACCGATGTTGCTGCATCTTCGAAGGCATACAAGAGACCACAATCACCACAATGACGCTGTAACTGCGAACGCTACGAATGAAAGTGCGCCGCTATGTACGAAGCTACGAATGCCGAATGTAAACTGTGAAGGGTGCAAGGGCACAAAAAGTTGCGCCGGTATTGGATTGGGTAGGCGGTCCACCTGTTCCTAAATGGGACCACTTAAGAATAACAACCTCGCAACGATTACTCACGTGCGTTCTGTTGTAGGGAGCTGTGTTTGATCAGAAATGCATCGTCCAGAACAATTGAAGAGAGAGATGTGTGCGCTTGCTCTGCGATCTATATTCATGTGTTTTATAGCATTGATACCGATCTGTTTTTGTTGATATTTGTTTTACCAACTGAAATATAGTACCTAATACTCATCCATTCATACTGCATATATGTGAGCAGTTGTCGAAGCCTGAGAATTTCCACTAGCAGCTGACGCTTACGTCGTTCCATAAGAGAGAAAAAGCGGTTTGGGAGTTGTTGTTTACAGTTGTAATAGCGCACTTTCTATTGCCGCATGCGAAGATCTCGCGAACGACGGGCAGCCTGATAACGCTGTGGTGTGCGCAATATAATTTAGAGGGACAGGGCAAGAAACGGTGATGATGAGAGGTAACTTGCATGAAGGTGGCGCTGGCCTCCGCCTCGCACTGCCTGTCCAGTCGGAGACCCCGCAGAGACGCCAAAAGCTGGCCGAGCACGAAGCGAGCTCAAAATCAAAAAGCCTCGTTCGATTTAGAATCCAACAAAATTGAAGTTTTAGGTTTAGTGTTGTTCTCCGCCACAATGCTCGACTGGGCGTGCCAGCATTATCGAGGCATCCGTGAGCATTATCGTAAGGCTTATTACTTCATCTGCCAGTAGAAAGGAAGAGATAGTGGAAACTCACGACTCAAATACGCCTTCACTTAGTTAAAGGGCAAACATAAACGATTGAACTTTAACTATATATATATATATATATATATATATATATATATATATATATATATATATATACGTTTGAAAAAACATGCAGACCCTAGCGGAACTAGAAGTGCATTAGATGCGCATCTTCTATCTTTATCAATAACTTTATCGAAGTAATCGATCACCAGAAATCTTTAAGTGAACAAGCCAACTTCGGATGCACCTTGCAAGTATTACACGAGCGCTGCGTCGCGAGCTGAGGATGAAGAATCTATTTCATTATTTCTTTGTGCTGGTTGCGTATCATAGATTATTATTATTATTATTGCTATTATTATTATCACGATTTCAAGCAGTGATAATCGCACGGAGGCCATCTATAGAAGATGCGCCATTTACGCAACTTTAGGAAAAAGGAACAGGAAATAAGCAAGCGTATCAAAGCTTACCGGGTTCTTCCTCGTTTCGACATCATTATGCCGAAGACAAGTTGGACCATATTCTTATAGAAGATGATTATTCTTATCTTTTATAAAATGTGCCAGCATTTTTCTGTGTATTCAAAATGTTGTTAGGTAAAATGTGCTTGCGCAAGTATCGATGCCCAGAGATTTCTCAACCTTACTGGAATTCAACTGACCCAAACAGCCGTGTGTTTGCTCTACCGATATGGCAAACTGAAGATGTAGTTTGTCTGCGATAGAGAATTTATACCTGTTTGCTTTGACAGTCGTTTCCAGGTTACGGTAAAAGAAAGATAGCAATTGAATATTGAGGATGAGGGGGAATTTGTGTATGTCTAAAAAGAAAACGTAAAGTAATATATCTCCGTTGAGATATCGCCTGATAAAACAGAAGCCAGTACAAAGTTCCCAGATCGCAAATCATCGCGTGCGAAAACAGAATAAAGGGGGCGAGAGCCAGACTAGCACTGCTACTATCAGTAACAGCTCTGCGGAGGAGCGTCGTTTTTCGATCTAAGGATGTTGTCATCCAGAGAAAACTTACGGATATATACATGGATCTATGTACAGTAGAAATTGTTGTAGAGCATGTGCTAATCGTATTTTCCATTCTGCTGACTCTGCTTATGCAGCTTGCCGCTTATGTCTTATATACTTAGATTCGTTCGTCCGTGCATCTGCGTGACTTCGCATGCTTCTCACCAGTAACACCAGCGCGATCAACTCAATACTGCCAGCGGCAACAAACTTTGTTCAGGCACCGTTGCATTATCTCAACGTACGGAGAAAACAAACATTTTGAGACTACACGGATAAATGGAGGCCCTCCACCTTGGCTTCTGTTCACAAACTTCTGCCGCTTTGACCACCGATTCGACCGGGTGAGCGTGTCTGACGTCACTCGGCGAAACGGTTGGTTTGCCGTTGGCGCTACTGCTGTTATTGTCACCGCCATCGTTGTCGTTGCCGTTCTCGTTGTTTTTCGGCGAATTGAAAATTAAGCGTGTCCGCATATATTGTGCAGTTTACGAGCCACGAACTGCTCCCTTCTTCAGTTTTAGGATGTGGTTGGCGTGTAGACGGCATGCTGCTACCGTCGCTCCTAATACAATCGTATCTGTCGTCGCGGCATCGGATGCTTTGTGCGTCCATTCCCTTGCTTTCCGCGCAGATTTTTGTCTTTTGGGTCTGCTGTTCCATTTGTCAGCTCACCGCCTCTGGTCTTCTGCGGCAAGGTCTCTATAGGGAACCTGCATGCATGTTTGTATTCACGGCGAAGCTGTAGCGGAAGAAAGAAGAAGCTGTAATCGTTAAAGAAACTGAAGACCTGCACGTAAAATACAGGCAAAAAAAAAACAAGCGTTTCAACATTATATCGCTTTCGCCTGAGACTAATAGATTAATTGAGTCGAGACAATATTGAATTAGTGTTGTTGTCCTCGTTAGCGGAACGGTTAATGTTTAAAGTCATCTTCATCGCCAGACGAAACCGGTTAGTACCATGCAGGGGAAAACTTTATCTGTGTGGCTGAGGTGAATTTTTTTTCAGCGAAGAAAGATACACACAAATAGAATTTTTTTAACTGAGAACAAAATATTTGAGTTGCCTTTTGTGTTTCTTTTTTAATGATAACAGGAAATTTCATTTCTTCTATACAACTGTAAAAGGCTAGGGGAAGAATAGACTTTTAAAGTAAGTCAAGTTAAAAATAATCTTTTATTTTACGCTTGAACATCTAAAAACGAAAGCGGCTCGTTCTTGAAAAGGGGGTTACTCTTGACAATTTTGTTCATGCTTCCAAAATAGCTTCTTTCAATAATATATTTCTCAGTGCATCATATGGGGAATAGCTAAAAGTACTTCGCTCAAAAATTAAGTTTATCTATACGAGTATTATAAAGACAAAGTGTAGGTCGTATTTCGATTGATCCTAATCTTTTGTCTCTTGGTCAGTTGTAACTAAAAGCGGTGCCTGTATTGCACTCTTATTTTTCTACAAGAAGGTCCTCTCGGAAGATTCGCCGATACAAAAAAGGAGGAAATAATCTTTTCTAGTTCGTGCAATAATCTGAATCTAATTCTTGGGCAAGCTACGTCTGTTCCGACCTGGTCTTCGCGTTCGTTTAGTAAAGATCGCATGAAGACCTCGAAAAATGTGGATTCCTCTTTTCACGCTAAGTGCCCGTTATAAAGACATCGTCGAATTCCCGAACTAGCGCCCACTTCCTTCGTTCTGTTTCACTTCATTCTATAACTAAGATATTTTTTTAATAAAAATATCTCATCTTATAGGGTTGCAAGCTCTTTTCCTTAAATTATGGCGCACAATAAAGTTCCACATAGTTAGAGTCGGTACTCTAACAAATTTGATCAAACAATGTTAACTTTCAAAGCCAACCTTGCAGAATTAAAACGAAATATTTGCAAATGCTTTTTGACCTATGAAAGCGACGCTGTTCTACGTTACATTGGTGCCCTACATGTCGATAAAGAGATCGGCAAAAAGTGTCAAATCGCTGACAAGTGATGTACATGTCGTACGATATTATTTTGTAGCAGCGGCCCTTGCAGCGATAACTCGCGCTACTCTTTGGGGGGTACTGATGCAATTTTTGTCTGCTTTGGCTCCGAGTAGAGGGGGGCTAAAATCACAAATTAGTGATTTTTCAGGAAGATCTAACACACTATTTCCTGCTGTTTCCAAATCCCTAAACGATTTCTACACGGTCTCTATGGGATTGAGATCTGTCGCTTAAACATCGTTGGCAGCGAGTAGCGTAGAAATATTTCGGACTATGTGACAGGACGCTGTACCGTGTATAAACACGTAGCTACCATCAGGAAACCATTCCTATACTTGAGATAGCACTCTTTCACTAATCTCAGCTTATCTCTGCTGTTCTAGTATTACCTGTGCAAAATATATCATCCCAATGCCTTCACCAGAAATCATAGGCTACACCATAACTTTTGACAGACGTTTGATTTTCGACATGATAATTTTCAGAACATTGTTCGCCAACACGTCGAAAGGCATTTTTTCCGACAATTTTAAAATGAGATTTGTCTGAAAGACAGACTTTTTCCTAGTTCTGAATAGTACCATTTTTGAATTGGTTTGCTCAATGAAGACGGGCTCGTTTCATTCGGGTGGTCAAGGTTTCTTGGCAGGTCTACTGCCCTTGAGCCCAACCTCTGAATTAGCAGCAATGCATAATTTTTGGCACTGCGAGTCCGTGGTTTTTTCATCTGCTTTGAAAGACATTATACGAGAATCTTTTTGGACTTTGTGAATAAGTGCATGGTTCTCCTACCTCGTAGTACATCTTTTTCGATTCTTGTGATCGCTTTTGCGTGACGGCAGCGAGAGGTTTTCCGTCAGCCTTCCAGCAACATGAAAGATTACGTACAGGTAAATATGAAACGTTGCAACAGGTTCGCATTATTTACATTTGTTTTGACGGACCAGTCTGCTAATAGGTGGTTTTTGCTCGTCAATGACGTCTGTTCCTTTTCCCACTTCGATACTTTACGTACGAAAACAGTTACACCGGTCTAATTCACTTCGACACCTCTACTTAGTTGTCCAGCGTTGACAATGGCTGTGTTAGATGGTTAAGATAGAACGTTCTGAATATGGTACGAAATATTAGGACAAAATGTAAATGTTAGATTCGCTGAAATCAACTTACGGCGAGCTGTCACACCTGCCATCACTGAAACACGATACGTCAGTTTTACGTACCCCATCGTCTGTCAGCAGTTTAAAAGTGTCCACGAATTGCTTCAACGACATAGTACCAACGTAAAGCGGAAAATTACCGCTTTTATAGGCCAAAAGCCCTTTCAAAACATCATATGCTAGTGCTTCGTAATTAAAACTATCTGATTGAATTTGAGCATTTGATTGAGTACCGACTGTATTATGACATACAGATCATCACTAACCTGCGGGGCGTGTAGTCGGAATAGAAGCAAAAAAAGTAAGGAATTTGTAGCTTCAGATTCATACATTTAATGTATGTGGACAAATACGCAAAGATCTCGGTGGCCCTGCTCAATGATGACATTCGAAATTGTGAAGGGTTTTAAAAAGCGTGTTAGATATCATACGTATTCTAGGTCGAACTATATCTTTTGATACACCTCTCAAAACCATAAATCGAGGCCATACGGCTAGGTAATAAAAACAAGTATCTAATGATGGAAGAGCTAGTATTTCTAAGAGAAGCGTCACCTCTACTACATGAAACGAATGTTATAAATAGTAGCGATATTTTCAACTAGAGTAATGCAGGCATTAATAGATGCGAATGTTCAATATAACAAATGATGTTTAGTAGAATGTAACTACTACGTGGTCTGTGCGTAGAAATATGAATTGATACTGTTTTCGATTTGCTGTAGTGCCAACAAAGTTATAATTGATTTTGTCACCTACAGCAGCATTAATTTAAAAGCCTGACTATAATCATTGCTTTAAAGGCCAATTAATATAAAATGATTTCCTTTATCTAATTACCTATTTAGGTGTTGTTAGCTGGATTCTTACCAGGAAATTATTACCTCGAAGTATAACGAGTATCTTTTCTATTCATCTTATATAGCATATCAATAACAACGGAGCGTAATTTAATTTAAGATACCGAAATTTCGACATCTTGGTTAGTCTACTGAAGTTATTCTAAATAATCAGAGGAAGTCTACTAATATCCGAGAATTTGTGGAGAATCGAACAAATTCAATTGTCTAAATATTTTCATCCACAAATCGTTATTTGTAATGGTGGGACAGTAATAACCTATCACACTATTAGCAACTGCCAGTATATCAACAACAACTCCAACTTTATGTGAACACCTTGGGAAATTAATAGCAAGTGCATTTTTCTAATGCATGCACTTTTGAAGTCATATTTATTCGCCAGAATAGCTGACTACTTATAGTTTAGTAATTAATAATCAATTTTAACAGTTACTGATATCGTGACGAAGAAAACGGAGTGATGACCACGGCGATCCTTCCTCGAAGCAAAGATACGGTCAACGCAACGTAAGGGAAGGAGCGACCTGAGCGAAAAACGCACTTGTTTCGTTTTCTATTCGTTTTGTATAACCAAGGAAGTACATTGCATAATTTTAAGACCATTTGTAGGAAGCATTGTTATACTCTCTAATTATCCAACATTTATTTTTACTCCATTGTTGCAGTTATTTATGAAGATTTTTTACAGCTTGGCTCGTTGAGCCTTAAGCCTACAGATTTTATATTAATAAATAACAACAATCTGTTATTTTTTAGACGTGTATTTCCACACTGTATCTGTCATTAGCAAAAGCAATAAAAATTCTCTGCCGTGTAAACCGCGAATCGAACTCTTTGTGTCAGACAATAGAGGTCATACTATTTGCCGAAGACAACGTTGCCTTGCGTTGAGTTTCAGGTTGTGTGTGTCTTTGGCAGCCACGCTCGTCTGTTTTCGGAAATCGCCTTAAACGGGAATCAAAAGGACTGAGCGAACTCGAGGTTTCAATTTAGCTGGCGTAGCGTATTGACAACTATGTCCTTTTCGTTTGGTCCTTTTGGCCGAAAGAAGAAGGGCTTGAATGAGCATGAGCGTCAGGTGTTGGCAAAAATACGTGAGGAGCAGAAGCGGGATATATCTGATCATGTCGTCGACGAGGAAAAACTACGCCAGTTGTATAAAGAAGAGGAATATATTTTTGAGAGACAAAAGTGCATACTTGATTTATATGACGATATTGGGGAACGCCAAGCTGCTGTCGACAAGCGCGTGAAAAAACTACGCGAAAAAAACTCTATTGGACGCTATAAGGTTTGTTCTAATCTACTATAGTTCATTGATAAATCTGATTATCATTGTTACCAAAGGAGGTTATATAACTGAGTTGCACTGACGCTGTGAGAAGAATGTTAAGTCGGCTCGTCGCTTCATAAGTGTATCTATATGATAGCTTACTGGTTTAATATTTTGCTTTCGTTTATGCTCATGTCGCAAACAGCAAAATCGATTAGTCTGAGAACGTGGGTAACAAAACCCGACGAGTTTTTAGTACGGCCTTTCGTCTGGAGTTCAAATTAATCGCCGGACGCTCTAATCTTATTACAGGGAGACTGCATTGAAAATATGGAGTCATGGGATGGGAAGACCACAGTAACAGAGACGGACGATCCGACTGTAGTGGAGTTACAGGATGAGGCGCTTATGATCATTCGAGAAAACTGGGAGACGAAGTTGGCGATTGATGCGGCAGTTGAAGAGCTATACGAATTGGAATTAAAGCTAATGCAACTAAAGGTTGATAAGATGTGGGAGCCCCTAAAGGATCTACCGCCGAAGAATTTAATGCCTATCAATGTCTGACTAAATTACTTTTATGTAACTGCACTGCTACGGGTAAATTCTTGAAAGATAAAAATATTTAATAAAAGGTTTTCAAATTAATTTGAGACAAAGTCAAATTGCAGGCCACGATGCGCCACCGGAACTATATTACCTAATTTTTCCACAGCAGTGGCTGGTCGTTTTTGGGCTAATTATAATTTGTCATTTGACGTTAATGAAGAATCCGATACCCATATCACGACGAAAAAGAACGTGGAACTATAGTCAAAAACATTCGAGCAATTAGCAAACGGATTTTTGTACAATTCTGCCTTCTGTTGAACAGATAAAGCTAATTTATTGAGGAAGTTTTTATTTTACTCGTTCTCGTTTAAGATAGTATAAGACGATATAGCAGGATATTTAGGTTATTCATGAGAGGTTAATCTGTCTTTGCAAAGTATGTTTTATTAAAAACATAGTAATGTTTTCGTACAATGAAAAACAAACTATCAGCTTCGATTGTAAAGTAAATGTGTACTGAGATTATCTTTATCACGTTTAATTTACCAATTTACTTCTCTTCTGCTTCACATACTTTCCATTCGCACGCGATAACATTTAAGCCGAAGTATCGCAGTATTTCATACTTCGCTGCTATCAGATTTCATATACCGGTATCCTCCCGAGAGTCCTAACGGTTTAGGACACCATTGCCTCTTCTTTGTCCTGCTCAGATCGCTGACTGTTCTGGCTGGAAAAGCCCGTCAATTGCGACAGCCATTCTGGATGACCTGCCGTAATCTTTTCAATAACTCCGTTAACTTGTTGGCATAGCTGTTCGATTCGTGAGTTCCACTGAGGTAATACGTCCGGCTCTGGAAATGAAGAAACACGATAATTTACTAATTACTTTGGACCTTAAACGTGCCGATCTGAGTAGTTTAACTTTTACGACTTCATTAACTATTGACGCTGTTGATATGAAATGTGTCTATAATCTGCAACTAAAATCTCCACTAATTTCAACAAACTTTACTATGCTAAATGCCACCCATTCGATGCTCTAATCATATTTACCCAGTACCCAGTGAACCTTAACAAAGGCTACGAAATTGTCCAAAAACTTACTATGGAATTCTACACTGCCGTCAATCTGATCAATGTAGCCGGCCAAACGTTGTTCAGTGATCATTTGGCTGGCGCACTTCTCCGCTCGTTCAGCCGGAATCTCGAGTAATGCACCGAGTTCGGCGAATGTCACATTGTCATAGAGTGCTGATGCTGATAGGAGATTGTGCTCAACGATAGCGCTCTCCAGGAACGAGCGGCCGTCTTCTTTCAGGCCCTTCTGGTGTGGCTTTAATAACTGGCTAAATTCGTCTGTAACAAGAAATGATAAAACACAGGCAGTAGAATCATTATTAAGCTACAGGGTAGTAAGATGATTAAGCTGTCTTGAGGAACGGACAAATACAATTGTTTGATGCCTGGGAGATACGTTAAAGTAGGCCGAATGCAGCTTTTAGTTATAAATTCAAACGTTCTCTGAAAGACTCTCTTGTTTCCTAAGAAAAATTGCAAAACATTAACATCAATTATTCAACGCATGTTACCACTTGTTCGTTGGATTTTTAGTAACGCTAATCGATACATCTCGATGAAGCAAGTTGAAATACAACACGTCCTTTATAGTAGTAAAAATTGATATCTGTATTTGAAAACAGCCAACGACCAAATGAGGCAATTTTTTCGCTAACATCACGTTGGGATACATCTAAATCTATGGAGGAAAGTGTTTCAAAGGTTCACAATAAGATGACTTGATATATAGCTCGTTTTTTTTACCAAATCTCAGAGATCGGGTCATACGGGTCACCGTTTGAACGATGAAATGGCATTCTATGGTGCATTTTTCCCCACTAATGGACAGACCTCGACAAGATGAACGAAAGTCGGCCGGGGGTCAGCATACCCGACAACGGCACAAACGTGTTGACTGTGTGCCCGCGACATTGTCGAATATATCAGCCCCCGGCCGAAGTTTCAGGAACATACGTAAATCGAACCAAGCTCCAATAGACTTTAACTAGATCTTGCAGTCAGTGAAGGCCAATATATTAACTCTTAGTATCCTCTTAAACTATCCTACTTACGTACTTTCCGGGGACCGAGTCAGTTTGTCAATCAACGGCAATCAGCCGCTACGAAACCAACTACATTATAGGTCTGTTCAAAACCAGCGCGTCACGAGCGAGACAAATCCATAGCTAGTCAAGCCCCTTGGAAAAGCTGACTAATATCATGATTATTATTATTACCGATCGCCGCTCCGATTAAAAGTCAATTTACACATATAAACATGCATTAGAAATCATCAAATCAACATACCGAGTTCACTCCGTTTGATAATACGATCGAGATGCATTTTTTCAAGGATGTTAAAGCTTGGCAGACGTTGAGCTCGCTCGTCTTTGAAAAGGGTTGCTAACAAGCGCGAGCGCACCTGACCAGCAGATGCGAGTGTTGCACAAATGAGGGCATTGGTTAGAGCCTTCATTTGGGCTTCTTTCGAAAGACCCGAGTGGTATGATAGTTCGTTGTACTTTTGGGCTGCTTCCATGAATTTTCTGCATTTATGAAAATAATTGAAAAATAGAAGTGAAATTAGAATATGTTACGAATGATCAGCTTGAAGTGTCCCTAAAAACTCGAAATGGGTAATGTATTAAAAGCGATTCGAACTTAAAGTTCAAATTTCAAATTTAAAAAAAACCAAAGAATTTAAATTATTTCAGGTAAATCATTTTCAAACATAAAAGCCCCAAGACAACATCAGTCTGAAGAACGATATAATAGTCTCATTGAACATAACTGGCATGTAACAACAATAAAACCAGCATCGACATCAAATTACCGCAAGCGGTGCCTAATAAAGCTTATTCTAAGCGGAGTCTTTTGTGGTTCTTAATCTAACGGATATAGAGTGGTAAAGAGTCCTAAATTACTGTATTCGCGGCTCGGAGAATTCATTGCATAGCGATTAAGCTAGCGACATCCTATGACCATTTCTATTTAAAAAGATACTTACATAAAAGGCTAGCAGCGGTGAACGTAATATGTAGTTGTTAATACAACATTATGTGCCTTAACTCGATAATTACTGATTAAGTTAGTGCGAAGCATTTACAAAACTAATTATATATGACACACGTAAAATTGAATTATGAAATTCTATCCCACTAATTGAATCCTTTTAACTTTTAGAGATATAACACGACCGAAGTATGAGCACGCTCATTAGATCGTATTTATATTGGCCCAGCTAAACCCAGCACTTACCCCTTGAAGTCTAAGACACGAGCGTGACATTCCTTGTGCAAAATGACAAATTCAGGTTCTTGGTCAGCATGAAGTAGGGATGCCCGGTTGACGAACGTTTCAGCCTTCATGATCTCGCCGCAATCGAGGTATAGTCGAGCAATTCGCAGATATGTTTTAAGCTTGTAATCCTTAGTATACTGTCTGTGTTTATAAGCACAAGATTTAATGATACAGAAATTGTTATAAAGCAAGCACATCTTTATATATGCCTACGTTTTTTTTAGAAAACATTTTGCCCGTACTTTAAAGGCATGGAAAACCTCAGCTAATGCTACAGAAAATTTTTACCAAAGTACACTATTGTAGAATAATTCGTAATAAAATATATTAAGAATAAAATATTTTGAAAAGATTGATGACACAACTGGAATACCAGAAGTTCGAAAGAGACATGCGGTAGTACTGTATGACATTAGTCTGACAACGCTAGAGGTCGCATCCTTTAAACGTCTGTTTACTTTTGTCCGTTGTCGAAAGGTATCTCACTAAGGACGGTAGCGGCCTCTTGCCAGCGATCTTCCTGCTCCAAAATGTCAGCGAGATGTTGTCGAATTGTGGAATCTTGTTCCTGAAGTACATAGCCAAAAGCAGTAACAGTAAAACAAAGACACACTATCTTCTTGCGAGTCTTTACGTTCAGTGGTATATTTGGGTTCCAAACATTCACAAGGACTTGTCCAAAAGACAATGTAACTTCGCGGATCTCGTTAGTCTCATTGAAATGGGTACTTTATTTGCACCTTCCTCATACGCTATCTCCTCGTACGCAGATAGATGTGAACGCAATTTAGCTCTGTTACTATTGATATTTGAATATCGGATCTTATGTATGGATTATTTAGACATCGCGCTCCAAACATGGCGTAAATGAAAGCCATGTGTCAAGGGTTTTGACAGACTGCTTTATCCACACAGGGTAATCATAATGACCTAAGAACGCAAATATGTAAAAAATGTTGGTGTTTCTTAAAAACCGCGAGAGCATGAGGCACCAACCTGAAATGAAATCAGCCGTGGCTGTAATTTGTCCAGTGTGAAGAGACATAGCTCCTTGGAAACAGGTCCAGTGCCCATGTGCTGAAGCTGTACCGCTATATCACTTAACAGCGGGCGAGATGTTACTAGAGAGACATTTTCATTGATCACTGTAAAATAAAATAACATAAAAGAGTCAGAAGGCGAAAACTAGCATAAGCTTCTAAATACAGTTTTTTATGCAGAAAGTGTGAACAAATTACTAAACTATTTTATAATATCACACTGTTGCCCAGCGATGATAAAAAAAAACCCGATTATTGTCGTCAATGTTTCTTTCTTTAGGTAACTATATTGTCAATAAGAAATATGATGCTGGCTCTCTGCCGTGATTTTAATGTGATTAGGAACAATGTCGAAAGTTACCAGTTTATATTTGCACACTTGCCTGAAATAGATATATATATATATATATATATTTGTTTTGTCGAATATTCTTTCTTGACGGATTCGTCGAATGAGAGCTGAACAGGACTACCCAGTAGTACATAATATCGCACGAGAAGATATTACATGTCGAAACTTAAACATTGCTAAATCTTCAGCACTTGGAGAGTTCTAGATGACGTTATAGAATAAGGATCCCACAGGTTTCATTGTCTGAACCACGTGAAAGCTATGTCACTCATTTGCAACTAGAAGCCATTGCTCACACCGACCTGATTCAATAAATATCTTCAGCCCCTCACTTCGTTCTTCGTCGTTAGTGATGGCCAAGATGTTCTCCAGCACCTCACGATACCTGAAGAGATACAATCATAGAGGATGGCGGTGGGAATGTTAATTTAATAACGAAGCAGCTTCAACTACGAGACTAAAAATGCCTAAACTCGGTGCGCCCAACTTGTAAGTCACACTGCACAAAATTTCTTATTCTTCTTATTACTATTATTATTATGCAGTTTGTTTGGGTAAACGAAAAACTATTTTGTGCATGCTTATAGCTTGGCCCTACTTCTTGATAAAAATAACACTATTATTTGACTATCGTCCCTTGGGTGGCAGTACTCAAAACAAAATAGACGAGAATTAGTAAATAAGCTTACCGATCAGCTTGTTCTTTCGGCGTTCCCTGTGAACTCCCTAAATTGGCAAGCAACTGACGATACTGTACTGCTGACATCTTTGCTGAATGATTCACCTTTCTTGAAACGACAGCAGCTAATTATCCGGTACCTTCTCTCCTAGTTTTTTCTGAATTTAATATGAATTCCCCCTATAATTGTTATTAGTGACGCACTACACCACTGGTATAAAAAATGGCAAACAAATAAGCTGCTGATTCGAAACCAGTACAACCTTACATCCCATTAAAAATATCGCCGAATCATACGTACTACAAAATTGCTCTGCAGGTTGTGTTTTTCGTGTTTACAAACATATGCTTCGAAAATCCGAGAACTGTCCAGATACGAGACAACAGCAATGCAGGTATCTGGGTTTTCGCTTTGGGTGAGAACGCGATGGAAAACGCGCTGTGGGGAGAGAAGGTCGCTCAGAGTTCCCATAGGAACGAATATTTTGAGCCGAGAAGCGCTTAACCAAAACGACGCTACTGTGAGGGCTGACTATCGGAAGGAAGGAAACATTTATCGTATACATAATGCACAGCTGGACACGAAGGTTGTTGTGCAAAGTAACCTATTGCTAAACGTACATGCATGTCGTGGTATTTATACTTGGCACGAATGCTGGTGAGCGCGTTTGTGGTTATTTTTTATGGGGACTACATAAAGCTGAGTGATATTAAGCGCTAGTGAAATTCGGTTGATATTGTTGTCACAAATTAATGATCTGCGTTGGTTTTTGCGCTAGTAGCAAATGTCGAAGCATTAACAAGAAAGACTGTATTTAGATACAAACTATATGCTCATGGACATTTTATACATTTATGATATTTCATTTTTGATTAACATATGAGTGTTAGTATATTTTGATGGATGCGTTAGCATCCACTTGTTTAAAAAATTTGTTTGATAGTTAGTTTGTGTTTTATTGATTATAATCAGATGAACAACAGGCATTGCTAAATAAATACAAATAGCTTATATAATCACTGAATATAGAATAACTGTTATTATATGTGCGAATTTACCAAGTACCCTTGTGTTTATTGGCAACTGAAAAAGAGTGTTTAGTTATTAAACTAGGATATGGTTTTGCAACAGTATTTGAGGGTATATACTGTACAAACGCTTTTATATTTCTATTTCGACGTATATAAGATGACAGATATTTAATTTCGTAGGTATTTGGTTCCACAAACTAGAATACGCCTTTTTGTTTGTATTTTTATCACTTATATTTACCTTATATATATGTTCATGTGCTTATACATATATTATATACTGTTCAGTTTACAGATAGAGTGAAGGGTGGGGCATTGATTTCAACGGGGTTGACCATATTATCCGTGTACTCGTTCCTGATCTTCGCTGTGGTACGTTTCCAGTACAGCTAGCTAAGTTACGTGGTCAATACATGGTTTTAAAATCTCGTGAAGGTGATCTTTTTGCTTGCAGTTCTTTTAATACAATACGAAATCTAGTGAACCTCAGTTGTCTTATACAGATTTAATTCTTTCGATGTGCCTGTTCGACGCTAGGTCATAATGATAACTACACGCAATTTGATTCTATTTATGGTGCAGTATTTATGGTTTATCCTTGGTGCAGTGATGTATTATGGACAGCCAGATAATAAATTAAAAAACATCACCACTATCGTGACATACTTTATATGAATTTACTAACATTTACAAATGGTTGTGATTTTCGTGTGACAGCCATTCTTCGAACAAAATCACCCATTACGTTCTTATGTTCCCGGGCCGTTGTATCTCTTCGGTATTCCCGCGCTCATCTTCAGCTTTAGCTTTGTATACGCGACTTTCTTCGTCGGTTACTGTCTGAACAGGGGTGAGACACCGTTTTAACCGTTAGCAATGGTGGATCAGAAAAATAGAGTGGAGGCTACGTTAGAGACGTTTACTCGTGAGGTTCGACTGGACCACCTGAAAAGGCCGCTCATCATCAGTCAGCAGTCACCGAGTGACGTCGGTGGCGTCGTCTGGGATGGTGCGCTCGTTCTAGCAAACTTCATCTCTAAGTACGCTTTAAATACTTGCTGCACGTGACCATGTGGCTTTCCGTGACTGCACTGTTTTTTTCTGAATCATACTTTAATATTGCCTCATCCCTTTTGCAGTTATAATGATTATATAAGAAATGGATGTGTTTTGTTGTTATCGTTGCAGGTTTAAGGAAGATTTTATGCGTGATGTGACGGTCGTAGAGTTGGGAACGGGCACGGGGCTCGTTGGCCTGACATGCGCCACGTTTCCAGCTAAGAAGGTGATTCTTACCGATTTTGCCAAATTTAAGGAACTTGTTGAGAAGAATATCAATGAAAATAGAGAGTTACTACGTGCCCCATGCCAGTTTGCAACACTTGACTGGAATCACCCAGAGGAACTAGTCCTAGATGAAAAGCCAAAGGTGGTAATTGCATCTGAGTGCATCTATTACGGTGACGCTATTCAGCCTCTCGTTAACACGTTAAATTATATCAGTGGACCAAATACTAGAATTTTCATCTCGTTTGAGTTTCGGCCGCAGAAAACACACGTCGACGCAATGAAGGAGTTTCTGTCATTGTGTAGAAAAAAATTTGTTGTCAAAGAGGTTCCGCTTGAGGAACAACATGAAGATTATCGCAGTGATGATATTAAGATACTTTTACTAACAAAGATATGTAGTGATTGATTCAATTAATAATAATTTACTGGAATGCTTTTTGTAATGAATAAACCTTTATTTGGATATTGAGTTTTTTTCATTAAGATTCCTAGAGCAGGCCAGGTACCAACAGTTGGTATAAGAACGGTGACTAAGCAAATACGAAATGTGGCCTTATACGAATGACAAAACTAAATGGGGCGCTGGCTAGCATGCTCATATAAGTACGCCTACTCAAATATTAGCATAAATTAATTTAAAATAGCAAGTAGTTGCATATCTCCAATGGTAAGCCCAGTTAGAATGAATCTATGCGAATGCTTTTTTCTGACCGCAAGGGCAAGTACTGAAGAATCCAGAAAACGCTTCAGAAAGATCGAAAGAATTTCTGAGTACCATCTGAAGCATAACCTTGTTTACTGATTGGCATGATTCCAGAATCTTAGTGTATATATCTAATGCAGGCATCTGAGTGTAATTTACTATCAAGCTGTATGGAGTTGGATATGTATTTAGAACCTTTAATTAACAAGTGTATACCACATCATAAATCTCCTCTTCTATGTCCATTGATTCCGAAACGCTACAAGATAGGTGTTGCACTTACCCCGTTTTCTCTAATGTAATCAGATTGTTAAATTATCTTTAGGCTAAAGCGAGCGTGCTATGACTTGTCGTTGCGTAAAACTTCAAATCGTAAATCTACGAGTAATTTTGCGCACTATTCCTGAACCACGCGTTCGATAATAATATAAATGGTGGATGAACATACTTCTGCTGTTTGTGGGTGGAAAACTTAGACAAGTTATTTGGTAAAAGAGCGAGACGTAGACTGCTCATGATATATACTAACGGAAGACTAACTTCAGCAGTATATTGTAGGTCCATAGTATCTATGTTCCGATTTTCACGTCCGGTATCGACGTTTGGCATTCGACCAGACGGCTGATTTCCAGCACGCAACGAGGTATTTCCTTAACCGGATGCGAACCTGAACAAGAACGTGTCTCAAAGATTAGCACCAAGCTATCACGGGAATAGTTGATATTCTGATATGGTATCGTGATCCTACAGTTGAATTTTATTTCGCAAATATTCTTAAACTGAATTTAACTATTCTCTTCCTTGATGCCGGAATTTGAAAATCCTGCTCTGGCCCAAAATACGACACAAAGGATACAAAGCCAGTAATTTCTATAAATGCCTTACGCAGTACCATTATACTGTACTGAAATTAATCGGGATGCGATGACAGCAATCAAAAGATGTGAGAGGGCTATACGAGAGGCCCCCATTTTGTCATCTGTGCATTGAAGCGAAGTAACCTACAATTTAATTGGAAAAGACCGATAACGTTCGTATACAAATTAGACTGTAACGGCAGAAATACGCTAAAAACCGATCGAACATAAGCAGCAAATAAGAAAGTAAGTCAGATTTCTAAACTAACTACTATGTGAGACATATACAAGCACCAAGGAAGGTCTGTTGCTATTCTAAATCGACTGTCCAGTAAATAGATCCCAGCTTGTTCCAGAGTTCGCCACCACCTCAACCATTCCCCGGAACTTTGGATTTTCCGTATTTCAGGTTTAACTTGCGTGTTTGAATCCGGACAATAACTTGCAAAATTTTTGCGTAGAACTTCCTCGGAAGAAAATCTGTATCTGCATGCACAACGAACACTATGGCTCTGGATTCAGACATTAGATTGTTGAAGCGTTTAGAGCCTGGAAAAGAGTGTGCCTTCTGTAAGTGAAAAAATGCTGGCGTTATACATGTGTTATATGCAAACAATATCGGAAGGGCACGTGAAGATTGCGTGGCTGCAAAGCCGAATACGTACTTAACAGCTTCCGTAATAGTGAAGTCCGAAAATTCCAGAGCTGGAAGCTACGGGGAACTCCACGACGAGGGTCGACCAAAGACCGAGAATCTAAAAAAGTGTCGGGATAAATTAGCATTTTGGGAAAGATCGCTAACACAAACGTACAACTACAGATGTTGCTATGGCCTGGTTCTACGAAAGGTAGGTGATTGATATGCTGCCGCAACAAACAGAGACAGAGGTTGTCTGAGTTAGCTATATAACGTGAAACGGTCTCAGAGGATGTCACAAAATATCTATACTCATTGTGCAGTCTGCACTAAGCAGAAAGAAGCGAAACTTGAAACTATAGATAATATAATACGTATTCTCAAGAAAACTGGGCGACTTCAAAAATGATAATTTGAAATTTGTTACATTGCTTTGTTACAGTGATTTTATTCCGCTATGATGAAACATTTGAAAAAGACATTTCCGGCTTCACAGAAATTCTATTTAGATCGTATGCATCAAAATAAAATAATTTGACTTTTATATTTCTAGTCCAAACTGAATACGATTTTCTATAGTGCATTCTGTTCAGGCTAACGTAATAGAAACCCACTTTTGTTTCTACTGGTTGCTATACAGAATGCTCAAAAGGGTAATGTATTTGTAAGAGATCTACACAAAGTTCAATTTTTACTATAATTGTTTGTAGAATTTCTTTTTAATTGCCTTCCATTTACATTAATTTAGTGGCGCGCATTTAATAACAAAAGTATCTATTAAAATTACTATATACTAAGGAAAAGCTAACTTTTGCTGCTTTAATCGAAGTTTATCATCCCAAACTTCAACGATTATTGCAGTAGGTTTGTAAACTTGCATCTTCAAACCTGGTGCTAAAGATCAAAATCTAATTGCCAGCTGAAAGTCAGTAATTGTTTTTGAAATACAATAGTTGAGCCTTATGTGAGTTGGCCACAGCGCACGTACGCATAATTGGCGTGAATATAATTACAGTTTGTAGTCATTATTTATTTTAACTTTGTTTACACTTGGATAATTGCCCATAACAAGAACAGTGGTACTGAGGACTTTCTACTTCTTTCAAGACGAAAGAAATCAAAGTTGTGTCCAAAGAGGATGAAATTATACTTCCACTTACTTTGCTGTGCGATATTTGCAACTGAATCTGAAATTCTATCCATTTGAAATTTTACCCACGAAGGTAAAGAGATCGTATATTGTCACCCCATGGCAAATCGAAACTCCGTGGCGAAAGCCGAACGTTCAGTCGTTAGCAAGAATTCGAAAGGCTGCTGTTAATTTAATAGATTTTAGTTAGTATTGCTATGATAAGATACATCCATAATCGATATATCTTTGACGTAGTAACAACAACTAACAAGCTAATTTACTCTTCTACACGTGCGCTTTAGTCTAGAACTCCAGATATACAGCTATACACTTCGTCATATAGGATGAACAAAGAACTTAGCCCTAGTTAAGGTGGAAATCATGTAAAATCTTGTGTTTCGGATTTTATCATCTTAAATGAATGAGGCGGTAAAATTACGTTCCGATAAAATTAGAATTAAAGCATTGTTTCAAAAATCGCCTCCATCTAATGGAAAATATGTACGAAGTTTGGGAGTGCGTACTATATCTACTAATCATAACGCAAAAATTTGGGGGCAGACAGTGTGTCATGCATTGAAAGCATGTCTCTATGGTAATTATATCTAAACAGATAAAGCAAGATTTCAGCTGAAAAGGAGGGACGAAGTGCTTACTAGTTAGACAATCTTACTAGTCTGCCTATCAAACCTTCTACGTTATTCTTTTTTTCATATCTTTTTTCTGACCCTACAAATTAATATTGTCCGCTATAAAAAAAGTGCAAGTTACACCGACGTGCACCTCTACAGAATACTGTGGAATTTTAGATACTACGACATGTTTTAGTTCAGAGGATATTTTCACATTTTTTAATCCTGTGACAATAAGTTATTATGTTCTGTATCTCCTGTCATTGCTGACGACATCCTGCCATCCGTTAGCTAATTTATTTATTCCTTCTCGCAAGAAATTTGCAGGTTGGTTGCAATTCATCCAGAGAATTTATCCAGCAAGATTCTGAGACCCCTCCACTATCAAATCTGCCCTTCCTAATTTTATTTATTAGTAGACAAAATGATCGGAATCCGTCAGCGCAAAATCTAGAGAGTATGAAAGATGTAATGGAACGTCCCATTCGAAATCCAAAAAGGCAGATATGATGATGGTTGCCATGTGTGGTTTCGCGTTGTCATGGAGCAGCTTGAGCTGACCTTATCGGGCAGCTTGATTGATTCGATGCAACTGGGCTAATCAAATATGCCGAAACAATTCCCAATAAAACAGATCCTTGCAGTTCGACCAAAACGTAGAACACAATTTTTTTGAACGAATATTTGCTTGGATCCTAGCTTTGGTTTCTTTTTTGAAGCCGCCTTTACCGATCCCTGATACATGTTGACGTACAGACACGACTGCTCATTACCCCTGTCTAAAATCGGTCATTGAAGCCACGTGCCGCGCCCTTAACCAACAAAAAACCATCTGGAGCATTTGCCACTATGAGATACTCGCCGAAAATTAGATAGTAAATGCAGCCCATTATCTCCGAATTCGTCAAAAAAACTTATAGACCCTTGGCGCGACAACCGAAAACGCGTAGTACGATTATTTAATAATAACGCCAAACTTCATCGCTGTGTCTCAATTACTTCTTAGACTGAGCATGAGAATATCCAGTGCCGGTTTCAATTCGCCTATTCTCCTTATCTAAGTGCGTGTGATTACTAGGCTTACCATGCTTTAGAAAGGACAACTGACGGGCGACCATGTCCTACTATCGATTTACCTCTAAAATTGCTCCATGAATAGAGGAATTGCACGTGGAACCGCAAATTTTAGGTATATAGTTGCCAGAATGCCCGATAGCTTCCCCCAAGATAGGCTAGTAGGTAATGCATTTGCTATCAAAGATTAGGAACATGTTGTCGTATAGGTTCGAATCGAGCTGTAAACACATTTCGTTTTGTACTGAAAGCCAGCCGTGTGATCGAATGGTCTACGGCGGTGTCGGGCGTGAAACTCCTGAGTGCCGCGACGTATATTTGAAACACATATTAAAAATCACCCAAGCCCTACTAGTTCGAAAGTTACAGTCCGACAGATTTGCTTGCGACAAGCCAAGGCGTATTAGAAGGGAGAAACCTTACAATCTTTCACCCTTTCTGTCGCTAGGGGTCTGGTCGCCCGTATGTGAACATATTTTGATTTGCCCACCAATTCATCCATCGAGTCAACTGTTATTTCGAACGATCCTTGTGCTTTACCGCCAAAATTTTCTAGAATAATTTTCCTAGTTTTCTCTTTTTAGCGTGTTATCTGTGTGTACATCCAACTGTAAGTATCCTGTAAACTTTATCATTAGATCCGTTAGTGATTCGGCTATATTTGATTGTTGTATGTCTTAGATATACGAAATAAAGTATGTGACGTTCTCGAACAATGTGCTTCTGTCTATTTATATTGGCATCGTTGATAATTTGTAATGAACTGTCCTTGATAAGTTATTACCTTTAATTTGTATCCTATTTTATCTCAGAAAATAATGATGTATAATAGTAACAAAAATCGAGAACGTTTAGGTATTAACCTGTCGGATAAAGAATGATAGTAGAAGTCGGCGAAGTTTCATTCAAAGCGAAAAGATTAGATTACGAATCATCTTGACTACTAGCGATGCTTCTTTGATTTTTCTTACATCAGCTTTTTAGTCCGCTGATTGAAAAGAAGCACACTGGCATAAGTTGGTTACTTACTGAGAAATACCATGTCGAAAGGTGACAATCGGGCTTACGAAATTTAGACACTCAAAAAATTAATTGATGCTCGTTTACAGAAAACTTCCTCAAATTAACCAACTGTCAATATTGCGAGTAGGTATCGACGTTTTCTTACATCATTTATTTAATTTAAGGAAGGAAACGCCTCTGACTTTGACCTATGATCTCGGCTACCAACAGTTTCGAAGTCTGTTGCAGATGATGATTTCATTTTGTAAGTGATTTTAACGCAAGAAAACTCATTATGAGCTTATTCAGTGGACAATGTTTTCTGTAAGATTCGGCTAGGTAAAAAAAATAATATGAATTCGCTTTGCTAAAGCGCTAATCATCGATACTTTTAAAGCGCTATGTAGATGCCATAAAGGATATTTTTAAAATTTAGCGTCTCAACCCTGATGGTTTTCTATTGTTCAATGAAGCCGCCGTGGAAGTCTTATCTGTTTGCTCTGGAATGTTACGATAGCTGTTCGCAACATATAAAATTGTTAATAGCATTCATTAACAGGCCTACGTGATCCTGTAATAGAGAAAAGGTCTATACTATGAGCTTAATGGTTCATAATTATTAAAATCGAGAAATCGTCGTACTAAATAAACCTGAAGCCTATGTTCGGTTTAAACTGAAAAATTATTTGTGTCAATGTTCCATTAATAAATAACATGTTCTAAAGTCTATTCAATGGACGGCAAATGGCGAACATAACAAATCTAATAACAGATGAATAATTATATACATGGTGGCACAGAAGTAAATGGTAAATTGATACATATTACGATAAAAGACACAATTGGTGTTCAAAAAAATAGAAGCGATTGGAGTTTTCTGGTTATCCGGCCCAATACATCGAACAAGATAAATTCACATTTTTTGACCGTTACATAATTCATTGGTAGATAATAACACTTTTTGAAAAAAATATCCTGTAAGCTACAAATGACTAGATAGAACGCCTATCATTGTCTACCGCTTCCATTTTTTCTCTCTTCTGAAGCGAATAACCTAAAGTCTGACGTTTCTCATTTTGTTAGGCGACCAGAAGGATGGACACCTCACATATTTCATCTTTGGCAAGTCTGCTTCAAGACTCGGAGAAGCTCGCTGCAGATATCAATGGCGGTCAAGAGCTCCCACGCGTTGTACGCAGTATCACGCAAATGGTTACAGATGGTAAGAAATAGTATTACGATGTATACACAAAACAGTTGAAAATAATATGTTCCTTTTACTAGCCACGTTCGAGAGGCAAAGTTTCTTAAAAATGAACTCGTATAATACGATTGCTTGTTTTTCCTTCATTAGGTGACCAACTCTGGAGTCGAGTATCTGAAGGCGCTGCTAGCCGTGAACAAGCCGATGTGCAAGCCGCCATTCTTCTGGGTTCGCAAGGTTTCAATTTACCTAATCTATCTCATCATATCGACCAACTGACAGCTGCTCAAACTTTCGCGCCAATTCAAAGTATTCAGGTAAGGAATTGTTGTCATTCAGGAGCACGATTTAAGAAGGGGACTGCCGATAAACCATTTACACATAGGCTGTAATGACGGCAGATCGGCAGATGTACTTCCTGTGATATTTCTTATTTTAATTAAATTTAATTCGGGAAAAACCCCAACTCATTACTAATTTACGCGTTAGTTATCAATGGTACACTAGAAAACAGTTGTCTTACCTAAATGCAATTCAATTCGGTCATAAGTTCGCTCAAAGGTTTTAACGCTTCAAGATTTGTATTGTATAACTGTATCAATGCAACGGTAAGTTGGAACGAAGAAAGACAGCTGAAGGTCAATTACAAAACAGTATGATTTGATAGTGATTTTTATCCAGACGGATATAATGACTCAAAGGCGAATATTTGTTGCAAAGTAAAACGCAGCTAGAGTAAATTATAAGATCAAAAAAACTGTCGTTAGAAATGTTGATAGTAAAGTTATCAAGATCATTATCGCCATTTCTTAATAGTTAACTCTCCGATTTCTCACATACTCCCATCACCATAACAAAATATTCAGACGTTTTTTTGGTATATTATACTTCGTCGTAGAAAATGGGCTGCTCTACTTAAGCGTATGGGAGGTATCATTAGAATCATGTACGCAGCGTAGCAGTGTACGCGACAAAATGAGCAAGTAGCGCAGAAAGTCACAGCCTGAAAATGAATAGGATACAAGGTATTATTAATTAACTCGGTTTGGTTATTTTCAGGCGACTGACATTGACGGCTTTTTACGTAATGAGCGCCAGAATGCTCTAACGTCAGCTATCCTAGAACACTCGAAGAATACAAATGATGATCTCGCAAGCTTTGTTGTTTCTGCTGAACAAGAAAGGTTTGTAAATTTGGACCATCACATACAAAAAAAAACCACGCAAACCTTGCCACGCGAATTGTGTAGTTTATAGGTCACTCAATAAATAAAAAAAATAAGGCTTTTATTTCATATCAGACGTCTACCCAGTCATATAGGTAGTGCCAATTACTACTTCTTACTGTTGTGTCTGAGTTTTTTTCACATAAAAAAAGGTTAAAGAGACAGGAGCATATTTTAAGCCCGTATACATATTGCTTATGATGGGCATATTTTACTTGCCTTTTTGATTACTGATATAACTGCACTGCCAAAACGACAATGTATACCTGTATTCTACATTTTTTTATTATGTCATTGTTTTATACTCGCCCACCGTCAATTTCTGCAGGTGGGAAGATCAGAAGCGAAAGGTTCTATCGTCAATCGAGTTCAGTGCGGACACCACGAGCGATATGAGGTTCCAGTCATTCAACGACTCGCTTAACATGACCAACACCATGTCCTTTTCTCGCGGCCGTGATCTGATCGTGAGTTCGACCGGTGCTCCAATACGAGCCCGCCTTTCTCCAGAAGAGCTGAAGTATGCTCGAGCACTTTCTGAGCACAATGCTGCCTACCTGTGTGGCGCACTTCTAGGCGAATCGCAAACGCTCGTCGACAAGATGGCACAGGTCGCCGAACAGCTTGAGCTAAAGGACGTAGCTTTGCTCTGGCAGGTACTACAAGCAATACAATGTAAAAATATTGATCAAGGAAATGACCGGTTGTCCTTGATGCACGAAGCAAAACGATTCCTTGAAAAAAAGCATTTAAAAGATCTTCGTGCTACCGTCTATGGCAACTTAAATAAGGCAGCCCTCGGCGGCGTACCCGGAACTGCCCAACTGATCAGAGCGTATCTGAATGTGAGGCCAGTACCCCGAAGTGAGTGTACCTGATTAAATATGATACAAAATATCACTTAGATTTGACTTTACGTGATTGGATCTAAGTGGCAATCGTAAAAATAAAGTGAAATTCTATATGGAATTTTACTTAACAGAAAACTAAAGAGTTGATTCGAATTTCATTACATAGTATATATACTTACACAACTCACTGAATTGTGCTTTACCTGCAATGATTTTCAGTGTTTTCGGATGAACCTGTGATTAATGATCATCCTGTCTGGGCGGTTTTGTATCATGCACTCCGTTGTGGGGACTTAGCTTGTGCTCGTGAAGTTGCGCAGCAAGCAGGCATGGCAGACCTTGCCGGCAAATTCCAAGAGTGTCAACGTAACCCTCACCAGCGCTTGGGTGACGCTAGTGCAGCTGAGCTACGAATTAAATATATGCGCGATTTTGGCTTGAATCTGTGCACAGGTAACCCGCACCAGCGGGTCGTATTGGCGGTATTGGCAGGCTGTGATGTGGATAGTGACCACGGCCCAGTCGGCATGGCCAGCATCGAGGATTATCTTTGGATAATGATGTGCAAGGCGCTTGCGGCTCCTATTTCACACAGTCAGGACGTGCTTCCATTGGCGAAGCTACAATCGCGTATCACAGACGATTACGGGGAGACTCATTTTGATGCAGCTCAGCGACCGTTACAATTTGCCTATGTGCTGTTACTTACAGCGCAGTTTGAAGTAGCCATTGAGTTTCTCTATCGGACGGACGTTCACAAGTGTCATGCGGTTCACATGGCAATCGCGTTGAATCAGCTTGGCCTGCTACGTAATACGGCACAGACGATCGATCCCGTCCTTGTCAAGGAGGGTAGCAATTGCCAGTTGAACTTGCCTCGTCTTATTACCTCGTACACTCGTCGCTTTGAAATGTCCGAGCCGGAGCTTGCTCTTGAGTATTACTATGCCCTAAAAGAAAAGTATGAACCGCTTTGGTTGCAGTGTGTCATTGAACTGGCCTTGGAAACGAAAGCGTTTACGAAAATACTTGGACAACGAAATGCTGATGGGGGAACCGTGCAGGGTGCATTGGACAAATTCGTCTGTACGGGATCCACTGGCAGTCAGGAACGTAACCGAGTGGCAACGGCTGTTGCGGAAGCCGCCGAATCTCGTGGACTCAATGAAGAAGCTGTGGCACTTTATGAATTGGCCAATGAAAAGCAGAAATGTGTCGACCTACTTACCAAAGTTCTATCCCTACAGGTAGATGCATCGCAGTGATGCTGGTAATTTGTAGCAATAGGACGTTCTTACGTATCCTTTGTTTTTTTTTTTATAGTATTTCAGTGTTTAGTTCTTACTCGGATTATATCCAACAGATATTTCTCATATGTGCGTTATTACAATTATGCAATATTCACTTTAATTTGTTTTTGGTTGTAGCCTTTTTTCGCAGATACCAGTAACATCATGTTTAATTAACTCTCGAGTACTTGGAGCACTCGGAGTTTAAAAGCCACAAGACACTATAGATTTGTGTTTAAAACGTATATTTATGCGATTTATTACAATATAGACATGTATTGTCGCATTCTCGTTCTGGTTTACTACTTTTTCACGAAAATTATTTCAATCGAGTATGTTCTCTATCGTTAATGTTGTCCGCTTCCAGGTAACACAAGCAGGGCCAGAAGGTAGTAAACGGGCTAAGCTTCAGAAGATTGCACAGCAGGTTCTCGACCGGTAAGGCTGGTCAGATATTTGAAAAAGACCTTGCATTAGCAATGAATACGTTGGGTTTCCCAGTAAGTGTGTCCCAGGGAAGTCGTCGAAATGCGGATCTAGTTTTTTTAATCTGTACTAATCTTGCGCAGCTGTAACCACAAAGTACAAATACTGGTTTGGAATTGCCGGGTCACAAGAACATCTCAGCAATGCGGTTCTAGCTAACTAGGTGTTCTTTCAACAGTCACAACTCGCCCGCTCTCAGTCTTCTCATGGACCTGATAACATTTTTCGACCTCTACCACGCATCGAAGAATGAAGAGGCTCTTGAACTGGTGGGAAGACTGCGGCTTGTCCCGCTGCAATTGTCCGACGTCGACGTAATGGTCACCACATTTTGTGGTCTCAGCGAACAAATTCGCAGGGTAAGCATCATTAATTTTGTGTGTACCTAAACAGAGCTCTTTAAATATCTTTAGATAAAGATATTTCTCAAGAAATAAGCAAGTGTGCCCTATGGCTTGTAATACGAGTTCTCATATCACCCGTAAGCCAGAGTTCTTTACGTGCAAAAGCATTTATATATATATATATAAATCAATGCTTTGTCGTCATTAGGTGATTCCGGATATTTTGCTGGCGCTGATGACAATTTTGGGCGAACAGTACAAGGCTATCAAGCGGCCGTCGCATCGAACCTCGCTCAGCTTACTTCCTTTGCTTGGAGGTATATTTTTTAAAATGCTTTTTCACTTCGAGTAGTTAATAATAGAGATGAATATTTATCCTTATAAAGTGCAAAGTACATGTAAAAACAATGGTACGTAATAAGTATAACTACTAATTTTTGCGGCTTTAGGTGGAAACCAGGCTAAGCTCGAGCTCATTAAAAAGCAGGCGAATGCGATCATCAAATATGCTGGAATGGTAAATAACTGACTTTCATGCACACACGCATTCAGTTTGTTTTAATTTTAAAAGAAAAATTTAATGTGCTATTTGGGTACGTTTTAGCGTATAAATAATTAAAAGGTGGTAATTAGCTTCTATTCCATAAATCAGCCGTACTTAGTGCGAGAAAGTAGAATATATACTCGGCTTCCTTGGGCCTCATATTTTTTCAACGTTTATTTTTACCTTAAGTTCATTCTTTCAATACGCTTCATGTGTTTTTTCACCTCTAAAACTTTATTATACATCCGTGTTAGAATCAGTAATCGCTAGAAGCTGTGATAGAAATTTCTATTTACTCCGAGCGAATTATTTGCCCAACTAATCCCGTTATTTAGTTTCTTTTTGGTGATATTTAAGAGCATAGCTGGTATAAAAATGAGTTTGTAGGTTTTGACTTATTGTTGCCATATTTTATCCTGGTATATTTTTAGGTTCCTTATCGACTGCCGTCGAACGTGAACGCTCGGCTGGTACAAATGGAGGCAAACATGGCTTAAAGCCGCCGTGAACTCAAGTAAACCGAAGGCTCGACATGAACGCACAGAAGTACTAATCGCTGTTCTCGCTATTATAGAAAAATTTTTATACTAAATCATTTACACTTAACGACGAAATTGCGCATCGATAACACTAGTACTAAACAATCTTGTTCAATTAGTTTAGAACAGATCAGACAGTGAAGCAAAATGATCGTCTCGGTAAATTGGAATGATGTGTCCAAATTACTGTTTTATGTTAGTGCAGATCGTGTGGGCTGTGTAATCCTGCCTGAAAGCAAGGAGTCACAAGGAAGGATTAAAGATTCAAAGAGACGTCCGGCATGGAGGGTGTAGGCAGACTATCTATCAATTCGACGCAAAATCATCGTGTTTGTTTGTATATTATTGGTAACACGTCATCTAAAATAGAATGTATGCGCATAAGCAGTGATACGATTGTTCCATGATACTAATTTTTAGGTGTACTAAACATGCTGTAAAGCTATGTGAAAATATTCGCGTAATGAATGAACACAGATATAAAAGGCTAGAATTACAAAATAGTGACACTACCATTTGAATAAATGTACCAAATCTTATAATGGTCAGATGTTTTTTTCACTAGTTAGGAGTAACGCCTTTACGTACAAATAAGCTTTGGTTTACTTTTTAATAGCGTAGCGAACGTTAGTTGATCTTTGTATTTGTGTAAGAGAAAATTAAAAGCTATTCAAACATTTGGATAAAGTTAGCTCGATGCATCTGTATTTTGGGTTGTCGAAAAAATATTTTTAAGCCAAAATTAAAAGCAAATATTTTTTTCGCAAAATAATGGTACTTTACTACACATACGTCATTTTGATTCGATAATATTTAGGGATTACCAAAAAACGGTAATCCCTAAATATTATCGGTATGCAGCTTCTATGGCTTTCAGGTAAAAAAGTAAAATTCTAAAGTGATTTTTGCATCCCTCCATGAAAGATAAATTAACACCATTAGGAGAGTTTTGCACAGACCGAAATATACGAAAGTCTGGGGGTAGAACATCTAGTCTATATGGCGAATGATGTTTTCATTATTTTTGGCGGTTGGCTAAGGATATATGCGATGTGGCATTGCCGTCATGGAAGATCACGCCTATCCTGTTCACTAATTCCGGTCGATTTTTAAATGTTTTGTAATTCTCTTAATTGCTGACAGCAGAGGTTCAAATAAATCGTTTTGCCAGGCGACAACAACTAGTAGTGCATGATTTCTTTCCAATTCCACCAAATAGCGTCACCTTCTTTGGTGTTTGTTTGGGATTTGTCACAGATTATTGAGCAGGTTTTATATTTTGTTTTGTTTGCATACTGCCGTATGTGATCCACTTTTTATTACCCCCGATCAACAGCTTCGGATCTTGGCATTTTCGTCTTAAAAAAAGCTCGATTTCGTTATACTCCCACAGAGTTTCACAGATAAGAATCCTGAGTAGTTCTTTTGCGTCATCATCAATTGTATGTCACTCAAACATCGAGCTTTTTTCCCTTTTTTCAAGTGGTTTGAAATTGTCTGATGGCGGATATTTAATTCTTTGGCGGCATGGTGCTGCTCAGGTGTCGGTCTTAATAAAGTTTAACAATAAGTTTTAACTCTAACATTTTTAGCACATCTACTACTGCCGAATTTCATTTTCGAATCACACTAGCGTCGACCCAGTACCGACCATACATCATCTAAGATTATCCTATCTTTGAAGCCATCTAGCTAGAAAATGGTCTTTGCTTTTTCGACAATTCATAATCACTTCGTGAAAATAGTCACGATTGTTCTCCAATACAAAGAAGAACCTCGGAGTGTTTGAGTGAAAACGTAATATTTATTATAATTTGTTTTAGTTCCCTTTTACGTGTTACGTTTAGGAAAGATATATCTTGTCATATGCCTTAACTTACGGTTACTAGGCTACTCCCGAGGCCTCTGTCGGAGCGCTCTAAATAATGCGCATTCTAACTCGAGGTTATACACATATGTATTTTTGCAGAAACGTCACTCTCAATACTGACAGCCGACAACACGCGATAAGTCATTTCAAGTTTGTTAAAGAGATCCGTATGCTTTTCATGCTGGTATAGTAAGAAATCTGAGAATTATACCTCTAATTACAAATTGACAAACCATCTAAGGTGAGGTCTAACACGATGGAGTGCATCGTATCTCAAGCATGTATATAATACCGCAAGAAAAATTAACTTAATGATGGAATATCTCTAGATACGTATCTACAAGGAACTGACTGGTTCGGATGCAAAGGAAGCTATTTTTTAGTGAATCATATAACCACCAGGCACAATACTACGCAACAGATGACTTGACACAAACCCCAGTTTATGTTTACTTTTGGAGGTGCTTCTCTAAAGATCTACACAGTTGTAAAGAAATCATAATAATTTGATAACTAATAATGCAACTAGAAGTAGATTCATTATGCAAAAGAATAATGATAAATAGTGTAAATAATACAGAATTTCGATTCTGTATCCAAACATAGTCATCGCATCGTTTTACTTTTTTATGGCTATCGAAAAAGTATTGCGGTGTAATTGGTGCTAGAACCAGATTTCCATATTTAATACCGACAATCAAATCAATCTAAACCGACTGCTAATAACATTAGAGCCAGGTAAAATCATGTCCAATCATGTTTTACCACTTTGTTAAACAGTACAGTAACCGCTATATACTCTGAGAATTAGGATTATGTATATATATTTGCCTGTTAATATTATATACGATACGTGAACCTGTTATGAGTTATTATCTGCTCTTTTTTATGTAGTGTACAACATAGCTTTAAGAATTTATTTCTTTCTTTCAAATATCCTTTCACATACGCGATAATAATCTGTTCTCTTGTTCATGTTTCGACTAGGCATATAACCTTGACTTTATTTAAATCAAATGTCGCATCACACATACAATCACATAATGGATCTAACTTTCTTACCCATTATAAGTTTAGCGCAATTCACGTGGAATTCGGGCCTCATATAGCGTTCGCCATCAGGGTAAATGGATGGCATCATCTCTTTTTTTTGGTGTTTGTATTGTATTGTTCCCGAATTCTCATTAAGCTGAGCTTCATTAGAGCTTATTGTTGTGATAGCAGGCATCTTCTATTATAATACACCTCTCGCCTATCCTTGGCTATGCAGCGAGCTTCTTTGTTGTTTTATTCTAGGAAAGGGGTCAACGAAAGCCAACTAGAACAAAAGGAGGACGTTGGCGAAAACCAACAAAGTATGTGGAACCAATAGGATACTGTTTGATGGTAAGTAGAAGGGTAACAGGGGATGAAAAGGTCGGACAGACATGCCGCCCGGTGAATAATGCAAGTCAGAAGGATTACAAGTGACACTGTTTATCGGACACACAGAAGACACACACACTAGATCAGCAGCAGAAATACAACAGGTTAACGAAAAAGGCTTCGGTGAGAGCGAAGCAACGAGCAGCAGTCGGGTGCCTTTTCCTTGACCCCACCGGAGGGTCGACTGCGGAGCAAAGGCCAGATAATCGGTAAGGGAGGAATGAAACGGATTATAGACTTAACGAGATCGCAGAAGCTACTTTTTCTCCAAGGACGAACAATATCAAGGACACATAGGAGGATACACCAAAGATACATAGAGGAGAAAAAAGTATAATAGGGAACAAGAGGCATCCTTAAGGATGTCGCATAACTAATATACCGTAACGAACCCTTGAAGACAGCATACGGTGCAGATATGCGTATATTTTGTTATGGATCAGGTTTCTGTCAAATTTATTGTTTCTATTTTTATTGCCATCCTAGAGTTGTGGTCCACGAATGCAGAACTTCAAGTTCTAAATTTAAACTCAGGCTTTCTGTCATCTAGTACGAAAAGACAATCAAAGTATAGAACAAGAGTATATACAGATAGCTGCAACATATTATACCAGTTCTTGCTCCATACCGACAACTGAAATCAGAAAGTTGGAAAATAAAACGTACTTCAACAAATCACAACTGAGGAAGGTAGGATTGAAAAAAATCTTCAAAGCTTTGGTAGTAATGCATGCAATAATGATCAGCGTTAATTCGGACCCACCGAAGGCACCGATCTCGACGCATCTATGTTCTAAATAGGTACACTAGATTGGACATAAGTTTATATCATTATTTAGCAGAATTTGAATTTATTCGGATGTTAGCCTACGTTTTCGTACAACATCACCCATAGGCTATCTAGAAACACGTATGTCTAATGCTCCGCCTGTTTTTATGCCGAAGACGATAGTGACCTTTTGCTATTGCCTTTTAGGTTAACGTCGTCAATGTTTCAGTTGCCTCATTATGAATATAATACGTGTCCTTCTGTTACGCTTTTTAATCCAAAATGCCAGTTTAGTTAATTCAACTCGTCACTTACAAACGTTTATGGTTTGCTGGCTACTTAAAAATATGCAGAACCGTACTGCCTTCATGCGACAGAATTGCGCTCTTGAGCTAATGTTGACAGCAGTTCAAATAGTATGTACGTTTTGTAAATTTTGTTTTCATATGAGCTTGCTGCTATAGGCCAATCAAGCAAATAAAAGAAACAAGACGTTGATAATTAATGTTCCGACTAAATAGATATTGCAATGTCAGTCACGTGTAAGTAGACACACCTTAAGCTAATTTTTCAGAGAGACTACATACGATAAAAGACCACCTTCATTTCAAAATGCATGCAATCCTTTTCATGAAGAACGATATAAGTCCTTTCCCTTTTCTTATTTATTTCATTAATAAATATATGTTTATGCGTCATCGTTGTCGGCTGTCATTGATGTGCATGACACAGGCTGATATAAACAGCTTTGATATCTTGTCACCTTAGCCCAAACTTATCGACATATTCTTGTTTAGCACAAAACTCTAAACCTTTCGGGAAATTCGGAAGACTCGTAGGGTCTACATATACACAATATTTCCCAGGGCCAGTCCAAAGGGATCATAGGACGAATTTTTCCCATTTACTTCCTCCTAGCTATATCCTGAAAGCTGATGAAGGGAAAGGGTCGAGTTGCTCATGGGAGGAGGGCTGGCCGGCTCTTGGGGCCGAGGTACCGAGCGGAACTTCATCGCTACGCGTCGATGGTTCATGCTCGGTGTGAAGATTTGTCAAAGGACCACATCATTTCGGCAGTGCAATAGTGGTTGGTACTCTATGCCGACCTTCGTTGCGACGTTGGTCGTTACCGGCCTCTGGGCTTTAGCCCAGGGTAAGTTATACGACACTGAATGAAGCACCTACTGCTTTAATTAAATGGAACAGTAGTATTTTTATAGAACGCTAAGAAGACATTTTTATAACACATCTGTATTTTAAGCATTTGATTATTAGCAGGCATAGAATAGACTCTAAATTATTTCTATGAAATGAACTTAATAGTCCAGTTTTAACCAGCTCACAGTAGTTAAAATCCACCAAAGAACTTTTTTAATAATCAGAATGCTACTTGTTATCCTTTAGATGATTAAATGTTAAAGTTTGGAAGCTACGTATACCGAAATAAAGCCCATAAGAACGTCAAACTTTTGGTTTGTTCTCGTAAATAATCTGTGGGTAGAGTGGAACCAGATTTCAAGATTGCTGCGTCATCCCAAGCTGTTTTGCTGGATTCACTTGAAGAACAATTCTACACGCAATCGGAGGTACTGATCATCTCTTTCATATCAGCGCCAATTTAGAGGTTGCTCTTTAAAATTGGAACCTTTCTATTGAAACAACACATTTCTGAATGGCAAATATCGTTTCTGTTGAATCTATAGCCGCGTACAGGGCATAAACTGTTTTTATATAAGAGTTTGTTTGTAAGAGATATATATAGAGGAAAGAAATAGGTCTTCTATTATTCAGTCGATCCACTAAATTGAAAAAGGCTTCCTCTGGACTCGTGCACACTACCCACTGATGTACACTGCGAATATTTGCAGGGCTTAATATAATAGGAATGAAATTCCAACCTTCTTAAGTGCTGCTCAAATCATTATAATCAATACTGTGATACGTCCCTCTGAGTTCTGCACGCGCGTGTGATTATGCGATGGTATCGTGTGAACGCAACTCACAACAGCTACGTATGTTATTTGTTCCGTCTCATTCACAAGAAAATGTGTGTCTCTAGAAATTCTCAAAGATTCTGAGAACCTTTGCTGCGTGCGTCGACTGTGCGATTGACAAACAACCCTGGTATTTTATTCATTGGCCTGTCTGCTATGTTCTTTTGCGAGGCTAATCACTGATGCAAGGAGATGAAGATCTAAAAAACAGTAGCACTACATTGCGTTACAGCTTTATGACTTTACCTAACATTTTTATTTTATAGCCTTATATATAATAGACGAGAAGTCAAAGATATATTTCTTTCATAGTAGTTTATATAGCCTTACAGATTGTTTCATAAGTGTGTATGGGTCAACAATGTTAATAGTTGGTAAATATGAAATTATATTGAAGTACCTGTTTGTAATATTTTGTGTGTTGTCGAGTGGCTGTGAAAGGACCCAAATTGAGCTAAACAGAAGCAAGATGAGTAATACGGTGTTGCCCTTGAGGTGCGGTAGTAACGCGGTCTGCAACACTTAAGGACACGTGATTGTCGAGATTCAAATCTCGACGTTAGGACCTAAGTAAGCCAGTACCAAATGTGCAACTCGAAATATATCTTTTGAACAAGCCGTTAACTGTCTCAGGAATCTTTGACAGGGTGCGCACCAAGACACGGTACCCATGGACAGCAGTGAATAACACTAGCGTCTTCTTTGATCAGAATGCCTACGATCGTATAAAACACTGGAAATTTAATAAGAAGAAAACGCACAGAATCGCTTAGTAAAATGGGAAGTACAAAATATCAGACTGTATTGCGCAACATGCTCGAAGAGTTGAACAAGTGTTTCTATTGGAACATTTTTATTCGGACGTAACGAAATATAGTAAATTAATTTGAAGCGCCTTTTGATTTTAATATTATAGCACATACCTTATTTGTAATATATTATAAATAGAAAAATTAAAAATATATAGGTTGTAACCTATACATAAACAATGACCGACACTTTTACCGACACTTGACGAAAAAGTCAGCGACCCGCAACCTGCTCTGGACAAATTCTCTGGTGTTAGCTTTTTGTATTACTCGCTGTTGAACAAAGGTGATGAAAAGCAGTTTGGTCGGAAATATTGACGTACGATGACAGGTGGGGAAAGGTGTGACGGTTGGGGGCAACCAGGAAGGGCAGATCCCACCCCCCGGAGAAAAACTCCTGGGAACGTGGACAAAACAGATTGTCTACACAAAGTTCTTCGGTATAAAACGTTGTTTCAAGAAAGAAGTTCTTGCATCTCGTGCATTTTGACAGGAATTATGCTTCGTGTTCTATTTTATGACAATGGCACAGGAACAGACAAAGCTGTGAAGCTCATAATCTACGAAAGTTGATTTGTAAATCATTATATATATATATGTATGTATGTAGATCTGTGAAATTTGTTTTTTTTGGGGAGGAGGAGGAGGAGGAGGAGGGGGGGGGGCATCTACTACGAGCACCTGCTTCGCTTCTTGTATGCAATGTATTTCCTCGAAATACTGTAGTGAAATAGCAATGCTATACGGGGAACGCAGGCGCTAAACGAGAACCTCCGTATGTTTTAAGTTATCATGACTAAGTCTTAAGCAAGACATGCATTACCCAGATTCAACGAAAGCTAGATGTACATACTGACTCAGTACACTTTTTTTTTAGCTTCTAACAGTTTTTTTCTGGAATTATAGAGACGTATTTTATCGTTTAGTATTCAAGTTAGGTTAAAGTGGTTGAATAAAGCAAGACTTATGGCAGCAGACATTAACTAGCAGTTACGACGACTACGATATAAAGCCATTACGCAAACGTCCATCCATTTCTGTTATACTCTTTTAAAAACTTTTTTTCAACTCATTTATGTTCCATTTAGTGAAAAGTTCAGTAGAACTCGATATGTGCCATTTCTTGATAGCGTAGCTGTTTGTTGCTTTTGAGAGTAACTTTGCGTTGGGATGCAGTAGGAAACATAGGTTTAAGCAAGCTTAGCACCAGCGACCGTTAAGCAGCAGTCAATGCAAACGATAACATACAGCAACGGAATGGGTCGTTTCGGGGTGAGGGAGGCTGAGGGCTGGAAGTTTAAAAGTAAAATCCGGTTTATATTAAGTCATACCAGATATTTTGTCCATTGTTTAGCGGTTTAATTTTATTAATGAAGGATTAGAATCTACATACGATTGTCGATTCAACTGACTGCTGTAACGGGTAAAAATACTGGAAGGATCTGATGCGTCATCAAGGTAAAAAAAAAAGAAAGGATTTTTTGTCACGTTAGTTTTTCTTTTCGTTACAGGGTCGATGCATCAGCACCAAGTTGAAGCTGCCTTCTTTGGCTCTTCAGGCGCTGACGCAGTATCGTCCAATGGAAATAGTCCGGTTTCGTCGCTGCAGCTCGACTCGTTCGGACACTTCTATCTGTTCTGGCAAGTGGACTACCAAGCGCGCGTGGTTACTTTTGAGCTAAAATTACAGATTCACCCCAGCAGCTGGTTTGCATTTGGCTTTTCGGATCGAGGCAATTTGAGCGGTGCCGATACTTGTGTCCTTTGGGTTGACAGGCGAGGTCAGCACCACTTCGAGGTAAGTAGCTATCAAAATTGTAGCACAACATGTGGATTATAGTTATATCTTATTGACCTATCAAAATCAGCGCCATATTTTACTATCAACTTTGGATAGAGATTGTCTGCGTTGGTGTACACTCAGAGTTCTCTTTTAATATACAAGGACCTTAAATAAATAATCTTAAATTAAATATCTTTTAGTGATTCTAGATTATTAGCTGCTCTGGCGGGATTAAAGTACTTTCTGGACTGGAAAGAACTGACATGAACAAATGGGGATCTTTTCTAAATAAATATTCTCTTTCTTCGAGTCTGGGTGATGACAGTATCTACTGATTCGCATAATTCATGATTGCAAATCTATAGCAGTAGAAAAAACAAATGGGTCTTTCTCCTTCGAACATCACGATTCAGGTCAAAGTTTAACGACGAATAGCCAGGAGTTTAGCATTATCCTTTTTCCCAAGACAATGAATTAACAGAAATGTTTATCTATTTGGGCTGTGATACATCTTTCGCTCAGTTCATTGTTTGCAACTCTCCCGTTTTGAGTAGCTCCAATGTAATTATTCGAGAAATAGGTTTAAATTACTTTGATTTAGTTAATTCCAGAATTATAGGCGGTACGTTTTGTGATCACAAGCCACCTAACGCCAGGTTAGCGCAGCTTAACATGTATTTTATTATTTACTCGGCTAATTCTATAATATAATGCTGTTAGATAGCAGTTTTAACATATACAGATATGTACAGTTATGCTCTTTGAGCAATCTAATAATCGGGGTATTAGTAACATGTCCTTTCAACAGCAGACGCATTTCAACTCAGCTCACTAAAGCAAGCCTGTTACTGTACCGTATCTGATGGCAGCAAAAAATAAATGATGAGAATGTCGTATTAATGCTACAAATTGCTACAATTACAAAATGCTACGTAACTGAATTGCCCAGTACTGACTTAATTTGACCTAAAATAATTAGACGATAGGCATAGACCTACTGGAATGCGTCCCAAGAAATCCGTGCAATTTACCAAACCCGCAATCGTTTTTTCTAAAAATTTGCATTTTTTGGCGGCATAAATAAACCGTCCTTTACAGCTTTGGTCGCTCCGCATATTGGCTGCGGCGAATGCTCCAAGATCTTTGATATCGTCTCGCTTCTCTCTAATACTTATGTAGACTGTTGTCTGCACCTACAAGGCCGTTTTTCGTTTGCCTCCATTGGGCGCATTCATTGCGCAAAAAAAAAATGATGATTGAAGTCATCGACTAAAATGTCATGGTCTCTGTAGCAGGCCACTACAGCGATCTTATGTTTGCACTAATAATGTGGACCTTGTAAGTTTATTCAGGTTTTATAGTTCCTACGAGTACGAAATACTGTGGAATTTTCACATACAATAAAGGTAAATGACAATGACGGGAATCCCTATCGACAAAATCGACAACATTAGAAAATGTGGGATAAAAGCACTACTTATAAGTTATGCGTTGAGAAAAAAAATATCCATGTTTATGAGCTTCTATACAAAAACGTCGTCATTGCTACTAAACGTTACTACTACCATTAATTATTTGTGCTTTTCACTGTTGGTAACATTATATACTAATGTTTAGCGCATACCCTAATCATTCGGCCTGCCTGATTTTTATTTGCTGATAGGAGATTTAAGCGCGTATATATGAATTTTAAAATATGTTAATGGGTGTGAAGTAAGTCTCTAAAATAGTGAACCACCTGTATATATGCTTGCAGCGGCCATGCAAAGAATGCCCTGTTTTTAAACCATGAACACCTAGGAATAGAAGGTGGTATTTAATCGCGCAAAGCACTGTGACTGAGTTCACTCAAAGCGGACTCATATCAGCCTACTTCTTTCCATCACCATGATCAGAAGACGGCGTAGCTGTAGTTAGCAGCATACATCAGCATAGCCGCTCGCTGTGAGAGTGTGTAATCTCTTTTTATTTCTTCATAGCAGCTTCAGTCGTTCACTGTTATTCCTCTCCCCCATTAGAAAGACAACATTCCCTGGAAGCGCATACCCCAGATCCCTTCCTCCGTCACTCTCGCACGGGGTGAGAATGACCGCACAGGAGAGAAAAGAGTCGCCTGGTAAGTCAACCCTATCTTTTATGCTTCTGTAAGGATCGCCTCCCGTGCCCGTAGCCTAAACAGCCCATCGTTGCCTAGTGCGTCCGTATGGCGTGAGTAGGTCGGAGGCGAAAGTAGTATGTATGGCCTTGGCTATTGTGCGACCGGTGGCACTCTACAGTGGTGCCATTATTAAATTCCTCGGCCGTCTAGAAGCATAGCGTCTGCGTCATTCTTTCCTTGCCGCCTCTTATTTTCTCCTGTGCAGGTCTCATGAAACCCAGCTTCCTGTCCCAGAAACCCAGAAACCGGTCAACACCTCAGCAATTCCCTATTACTTTACGTCTGCTAAATCGAACTAATGAATACGTGACGCCATTTGATCAAAGTGCTTGGTATCGATGTATCATGTAGCGAATTGGTATGGCCCAGACTTTCGCGATAACTAAAGGCGTAGATGTTCTATCAGACGAGCCACGATATGCTTGTTGCTATCATCACGTTTAACGAGTCTGCTTGACGAAGAATATAATAGTCTTCAACTTTAAATGAAGTTGAATTAGTAAATTTATTGTAAGGCAATTGGCCTAAACAGCCAGCAAAAGCGACAGGTTTGAGAGAAATCACGCGTGTCGATGTAATATTTTACATGTCGGATGAGGCATTTAAGAATAAGTATCTGTTATTGATGCTAGATATTCAATTTAATCTAAATTAGGTTAAAAATGGGTACATTTATGGGCGGAGATTTTTGCAAATGCTTCAATATGCTGCTAGAGTAAAAATTTATTCGAAAAAAGGGCATGAATAGAGGGACATACCAAAATGGCCAGTTATAACTGAATGGTAGTTTGGCACATTCTAATATATCAGAAGTTCATGTCAAACAACATTTAATAGGAGAGGCAAACTTTATTTTGAAAAAAAAATGATAAAAACATTTGCAGAAGCTCAGAATCGTTCAAACAAAATATTTGAATGACTATTCACTAAATCTGTAGCCAATAGATCATTGAAAATAAATTACAGCTTAATTCAAAGTAAATGATAACGATCGGTCGATATTATGACTAGGTTAATTTGCTTGAATGAGCCTGAACCCGCGCCATGGGTAAAGATAGAGAATAAGGAAAGGCGCTATTTAAGTACAAAAGCTGACTTGACTACGAGCTTTTTCTAAATTCGGTTTCAGGACGGACACACTAATTCCGAAGGTTTTCTTTACGTCGAGGAACCGCAGCACTGTCGGCTGGATTCGCTCAAGCGAAAGGGATCTGCGCTCAGGTACCTTAAACATTGATTCTTATTCCATCACACTATTCTATCTAATTTATGTGACTGGGTTTCCAGTGATCAATTTTACTTTTAAAAGCATCGTCTTCTTATGGCAAAACGATCCTGTTTGTAAAAAGTGTCTCCTGAATGATTGCAGGTTTCTTTTCTCGCGAAGCTTCGATACATGTGATCCCCGCGACTATGTCATACAAGAAGGTACTGTACATGTGGTTTATGCATCAGGTCCAGGTCCGCTGAAAAGAGCTGATGGATTACGAATTACGCACGCACCCGTTAAAGGATTTCAACGTACTACCATCCTCAAAACAATAACAGCAGATGAAGAATTTACAGAGCATGTCAAAACACTTTCATTTACTAACGACCGGGTAAATACTTGCACATGACGTATCGCATTATGTTATTCTAAGTTATAGACTGAACGCTGTAATATAATGTCCTGAATTTTAAAGTACATCGTCTTCATTAACAAATGTGGCTATATTTGTTAGGAGCTTGACATTTTTACCAACAGTATTCCTGCTGAAGGAGAACTGCCGGTTTCACGACGATATTAGGGATTAGCTAGTCTTAGGGACACGTACGTTGAGATCTAGGCTCGAAGCCGTAGCAGCATAGAGAGAGAGATCTTGTTTTGTGCTCGGAACCAGCCGTTTGTCTAATGGAATGCCTAAGGGCAAAAGCGGACCTAAAACTCGAACCATGGAGAGGTGCTACAGTGATAACTAGTTATTGATATATAAAGCTTATGGTGGCTACCTGGAGTCTCCACACGGGGCTTACATTGCTTTCGAAGGCCTGCTTTAGCTAATAATGTGGACCTAATAATGTGGAGATATCTTCATAATGGTCGTTACCGGTTCTAACATCGTCTAGTGATGCTTCGCTATGGCATGAGTTTATAGCATTTTTATGGTATTCAATACTCTTTTAGGGCATTTCTTCAGACATTGGTCATTACAATGTAAACTTTGTAAAGTTAATTTTCTATTTGACATTGTTGCATAGGTGGCAGTTCCGGGTCGCGACACCACTTATTGGTGTAAGGTATTCCGATTTCCTCCGGAATTCCATCGTAAACAACACGTGGTGCAGTATGAAGCCATCATAACGCCCGGAAATGAAGGCGTAGTTCACCATATGGAGCTGTTTCATTGCGAAGTTGGTGTTCACGAAGTACTCCCAAATTGGAACGATGATTGTCAAAGTCCTAGAAAGCCTGTGATACTCGAGAGATGCAAAAATGTCATTTCCGCCTGGGCAATGGGAGCACCGGTAATAACGGCTTCATCCTTGCTACAGCGCATTCATGTAGCAAAGACATCGCTTTTTATTAAAGCTCGTTTGAAAATATGTTTTCCAAGAAAATTGCTTCTTATGTTTTTTATTTCGGCGCCAACGCCTTTACGTCTTAGATCGGACACTTTGGTATCTTGAATCCATACGCAGGTGCGAACTTTCAATCGAATCAACAAGCTGTACGCAGTGAATGTTTAGACGAATACAGAATCATAACTGACTGGATAGTAGTTGCATCGCAGTAAATAGGAAATAATTAAGTTAAGAAAAAGCAGCATGCTTTAATGGATACCGTAGTGCCCATGCTTACTAAGGTAACATTGTGTTAATAAATTATGCCTACACTTTATAATGGTGCTTATGTGCGCTTGGGTGGCGCATCAATCCAGCCTCTTCAATATCCTAAGGAGGCTGGGCTGCCAGTAGGAGGCCGAAATTATTCAGCCTACGTAATGCTCGAGGTACACTTCAACAATCCAGACGTACGAACAGGTACATAGACTGCAATGTTACATGCCGTAAAATTGGTTGTTCTAAATATTGTTACTGAATTGATTAGGGAGATGAATATTGGCAATCATGCTCTGTCGCTGGCAATTACTCTTTATCTTATCTCCGCGAGAAAAGAAATCTTCTGGTCTTTTTATTGGTTATCGTATCACGACAGAACTAAGATTTACTAAGAAAAATAGGTAGGAATAAATGCATTTTCATTAATGAACTAGAGAATATAAATAGTTTATCGAGGGAATTTTACGCGTCTACCCTTATTGTGCAACTGTTCGAAGACCTTTTTTTAGGCGCCGCAACGTTATTTCGTTCTACATGCTTCGGTCAAGTGATATTTAATTAACATGGCCATAATTTTTTATACGAACCAGATTTGGTGGACAGTTCGGGCATGCAGATTCACTATACGGATCAACTAAGGAATTACGACATTGGAATCCTAGAGGTGGGATTGGAGTATACAGATAAGATGGCGATTCCGCCTGGGCAAGAAGCGTTCGATCTTACGGGCTATTGCATCTCTGAATGTACTCGAGCGGTAAGTACTCCCTCAAACACGGCCCTAGGTCAGATCGAGAACTACGGCAGAATGCGCGAGTATTGCAGATAAATCTTTTGATTTACAATTACATATCGCTCTCTTTATCGACCTTCTCTTAAACACTAGACATTTTAAGATCCACTTTAAATATCATGTTAGGAACTTTCTGTTTTCTACACAAACTACTATTTCGATTTTTTTTTTGTTTCGTTGTAGAGCTTACCACCGCTTGGAATTGTGATTGTGGCGGCCCAGTTGCACACACATCTGGCAGGCGTGGCAGTGTGGGTCGAACACTCACGTGGGGGAAGGTCTCTGGGTGAAATCGGCAGAGATAACCATTACTCAAGTCATTTTCAGGAAATTCGCAGGTTGGCTCGGCCAGTAAACATCAAACCGGTAAAAGCAGTTCCCATTATGGCTATCGAAAACACGTGGTTATTCCGTCGTTAACAACGGCGCCTATTTTTGTTTAACGCAAAGCTTAAGTTGACGTAGCTAGCTGATTGGGACACTTTTTGTTTTATTATGCATTTAGCCATATATCAGGTGTGCTGTAGGAATCAGGGACCAAGAAAAACCCAACGCGACCCTACCAGGACTCGATATCTCTCTAAAGAACTTTTTATACAGCATTATCCATATACTGTTCGAAAATTGCAGGGTGACGCTGTAACAATTACCTGTCGTTACAATACGGTAGATCGAAGTAAAGTTACCCTCGGAGGGTACGGCATTCGGGATGAGATGTGTATAACTTACATGCACTACTTCCCCAAAACTGACCTCGAAGTTTGCAAGAGCTCTGTAGATTCATTTAGCTTGGCAACGTACTTTGACTACATGCATATGTGAGTATGCTTACCTATTGTATATAAAGCATAGATACCTAGCATAGAAAGCATAGATAAAAAATGGTCATATTGTATAGTCCGCATTGCATTAGATGACAGCAGATGTAATCGCGTTGTTTCTTCTCTTCTTATCGATGAGCCTACAGCGGATAACCGCTAATTCTTCGAAAAAGCCGTAGTAAGAGTAATTCACGAATTAAACATCAAGTGTTTTCTTGCTTTTTCGCAACCATTTTAGCGCCAACACAGAATCCTTGTATGTGTACCTATATAAGTGAAGGACATGGGTCATATTTAAGGTTGTGCTCTTTCTTTTTCCAGAACACATCATGAGCGTACATCGGCCCGAAAGCCAATTAGCGAAAACTACAAATCCATTGATTGGAGCCCATACAATGTCCGCCTGCTTGCAGAATTTTATGCCCAGATGCCACTTTCAATGCAATGTAATCGCTCAAACGGAGATCGGTTTCCCGGCAACTGGGAGGGCATGCCCACAACGAAGATCCTATATCCTCTTCCTGACGATAAGAACGTCAAAGATCGCTGCGATCTCCAACAGGAGGAACTCGAAATGGACCGAAAATAGATCGATGTAAACACGTAAGGATACCAGGATCCATTTATATAATATCGAATACTGCCTTCTGAGTCTAGACTTGAATATCGAAAAAATTACATTAACTTATGCTTCCTTGTAAAAAGTAAGTTTATATTCTGCAGCAACATTGCTAGCTAGTCTCGCATTGTCGAAAAGTATAATGGAAACATTTGATGGGATGATACTAAGTTGGGTCCAAGATTTTTAGGAGGGTATTGCGGAAATGAAGATGTTTGACATGGCTGTCGGAGTGACCTTTCACATAGGAAGTGTACATATATTGGTGTACGATTAAACTAACATAATGCTCGATAAATTGCCGTAATAATTAATTAGTTGAATTTACTACACAATATGGTAAAATATGGTAATTAGTAATCAAATAATTAGTAGTTTATCCGAGTTGAGCGGCTATAGCTTTCAGCATAGCGGATTCCGAGACGAAGCTAGCGTATTTCTGGGTTAAACTCTTAGCATTCGTAATTTCGTTGGCCATAACCTGAAATCTATAATGTCCTAGCCACAATCATTACTCGTATGACAGTTCTATTTTGAGAAGCACTAACGTTTTTAAAAATCAATACATCGTTTTTAACTTTCAGCCTCCGTCCGATCCGATGGGGCATTTAGGCGACAAATTACTTGCCCCAACTCACAGCTAAAGGCAATATTCTCACAACTAAAGAACAACGGTCGCTATGATATAACTATAAGAATAGTCCCTGAGTTTCCAGCAAGCAGACAAGATAAACAAATTATATTATTCTAGTTTTGTATCAGTTCTTCTTTCGTGTATGGTTTCTGATTTATGTTCATTTGGAGTGTCTATTATATATTCCTTATTGCCTCTATGATGATTTAGTTCACTGTTATATCTAGTTTATCTGCTGCTTTCACACATATCCTTCCATTTTGTAATTCTGGCCAGGTTCTGGCGTTTACACGATGGAAGCATTTTTCTGCTGAGCTTTAAACCAATCAGGGACCTGGTGTGTTTGTCTCATGACCATATTCTACAGAATAACGCGACTGTTAGTTGTTTCTGTTTCCTTTCAGAACTAACGTATTCAGTGCAACAAGACGTAAAAATAAAAAGTATTATATACATTAGGTGTCTTGCCGTTCCATAAGGCCGGCCGTAAAATCGGCTGTGAAAAGATGCTCTTATAATATGGAGGTAGATTGTTGGTAGGGTAAGAAACGAGAACAGCTGTCGATGGTTTCACGTAGCATCTTACATATATATATATATATATATATATATATATATATACACACTATAAACATAAACTATGAGAATGACGTAGTTTTTTAAAACTGTGGATCTCTTCTTGCATTTGGAAGGGAAAGCATCTATAGTCCGAAGGCTATTGCCAACAATAATGGTAATAATAGCAAGTTACATATTATTCTGCAAGGAAATATTGATTTGTTGAATTGAGACGGGGCATATGGATGGATCTGAACTTGCAGTTACACCATTCAAATGAAGTGTTGGCAGAAAGGATAACAAAAAAAAAAGCGTTAGTACGAATACGATTCAACTGTTTCGCTAAAACGTGGCCTAGATTTGAGCTAATAAGAAAGGCACAGCTCGTAGTATATCCTCACGTTCAGGTAGGATTGCAATTTGAAGACATACATTTCTTAAAAATTCATTGACCATTTATGAATATGAAGTATATCTAAAACACTGTTTTTTTGTGGTACGGTTCCGTTCAACGTTAAGCTGCTGAACAAAATATAGAAGGTCTCAAATGTGGCGTTGTTACTATTTTATTTCCCCCCCGAACACATAACGAATGGGAAATCCTATTTAAGAGTTAACAAATAGAAGTAATCACACACCTTAAAAGATTTAGCATTTGATGATGAGCAACTATGTGCTCTGAATCACATATCAGCAAACGGTCACATTACAGTGTGTCATATAGTCCTATCAGATTATGCTAAAATAGCGTTTTCGAAATAAGGGAATTCGGCATAAGCTATCATCTTTAATAGGGCAAGGCTATTTGATCTTGAATATTGTCAATAACCATGAAACAAATGCAAATTAATGTACACTTATGTCCGGTACATGTTCAAGGAGTGATTATATGTATACTCTTCGTAATGTTATCACTGCTAGCTAAGCAACTATGATACACTAGCACCACTTGAAAAAACATGCTTAGAAAGGAAAAAAAAGACGGCCTAGTTACTATTATGCGTTTATCATAGTATTTGAAGTTGATTACGTTCATTTGAGCCTCGTTTACAATATTGTGGTAACAATGATCGTTTTCGTTATCTAGGAGAAGGTCTACCCGTGTCTTTTGGTTATATAAACAATGAAATTGTGCTAATCGCGATATTACTGATAATACCAATTGTAGTCCCCATTGTATATTTACTAAAGTAAATCTTAACATTACCTATTACATTGGAAACACTCAGAAAGGTCAACGGTGAAATAGCTAGGAACCAATCACCGAACGACAGCAAACACTATACACTTATCCAGTAAGGAAGACTTACACATGACGAAGATATATCTAACGATCTTATCCATTTATAATAGCAGTCATCATCATCATCATAAAAATAAAACCAACTGTACAAGGAAACAAAAAACGACGCATTCGATTTCTCGCTTACGGCCAATAGGTAGTGTCAAAAAGCCCTTGTGCACATAGGGCTCTGGCAACTCGTTCTCCTGTTTGAAAATACAAAACAACAGTGAATAGCATACGGTATGATACGGTTTGCCTCCAAGTGGCCATGTACAGCTTCTGCCCTCCATTGCTATCATAAGTACTCATAGTACTACTACTACTACTGCTACGACAGTGAAATTTAGGTAAGTCGCAACTTGAGGACCCCTTTTTCAGAATACATTCTGGGAAACGCCCCGATACAACCTATCTTTTACTACAAATTTGGATCTACCCGTTAATTGGATTGCCTAGAATATCCAACTGTTTTTTTAATTTGAATTTTTAGAAAATCATCCTATAGTAACAGGTTTAGTAAAAAATGAACATAAAGTTAGTAGGTCGAATTCACCAATGAAGGGGTAGATAAGTCTAACGCCGACTATAGATAGTTCAGTGTTCGTCCGTAATTATCCCACTGCATAGATGCGCACATACGCGCAATGTGATTACTTTTTCAGCGGAAGCAAGCGTTCTCCGACAACACGTAACGACAGCTTCAATTCATGGTATCGCTGGTTAGATCAATTCTCAGCAACAGAAGGCACTCTTAAACATAGTGCAACCTGGCCACAGCTGACGAACGGACACGTTGCACTATTCGTCATCATTGTCCTAGCTTCTCCGGGGCATCAACAGGAACTGTCTTCAATCCCGAATCTTCCTCTTTTTTTACTCACGTTTAAAGACGTTTGTCTTTGCCGTCAGAAAAATTAATAGGATACAATCTAAGATCCATCTGATGTGACAACAATAACTGGAGCAACTGAACAGTAGCTGAAAGAGGCATAGACAGCCAGTACGGATGGTGCTACTTCGGAGTCTTTCTAGGGAAGGTTTTGTAAAAGCAAGTGCAGCAGATTCACAGGATCAGATTTCCAGAGGACATACCCCGTTTCGTCGTCCTGTACTCTATCCTGGCGACCACCCTAGTCGCCACCTATTTGGTTTCGCCCCTGGCTTGCGATTGGCGGGCTAGAGGGTACGCAATGCTCCCGCCAGTAGCCCTGACGACTCGAGCCAGGCCGAAGTTGGGCTGAGGTCCGCAAATGAAAGAGGAGTATTTGAAATTCAAGCCTTCTTCTTTATCGTCGTCGTTTTCGTTGACGTTGCCTGCCTAGTTTTCGTCGTTCTCGTCTTTGAGTGCTTTTCTTGGCTTTTATCGCCCGCTGGTTGCAAGCCAGTATTTCACAATACTGTTTTAAGATTAATTTATTCGGTATCCAGTTTCATTGCTTCTCCCGTTCCGAGAGGGCAGCGGAGCACTTCTCTGCTTAGTGGATGATCACCAGCCTGAAGACGAGAGCGCGGCACAACATAGAAGGGCAGCAGAGCAAATATCAAAAATGGTTATTATTTCATCTCTGAGAGAATGTGGCCTATAAATCCGAGTGGAAATGCCAGGAGGTGAAACGAAAGCAAAGAAGCCAACAGGGAGACAGCATTGCTGAAATTGTCGAGGTAGTGGAAATCGTTTCCGGGCTATAATTTTGCCCATTTAAGATGTCTCGGCAGTTCTATTCAAAGTGCGCGGGTGGGGTTCGCATTTACTGAAAGAGATCCCTGAAAGGGCGCTGTTTGCTTGGCGGGAAGACATTAATCAATGTTCTATTGCATTGTACATAATCGTCGCGATGTCAAGGTTCGCTGAATAATTGCAAGCAAGCCTGAACACTTTTTTGCCGCACGCATTGTATAACGAACGAAATTATCTATGACTTCGTTTAGCTCGTTGAAACAACTGTCATCTTGTTAGATCACTTCACGGATTTCGCCAGATTCATAAAATTCAGCAGCACAAGCTATATAAGTTTACATGCTTTTCATACCTGGATGCCCCCGGACCTTGAGCCTAACAAGATAAATAGAAATAGAAACTCTTTTGACGACCCCGACATGCGAAACGGTCCTCGTTCACAGCTTGATTCGTATGAAATGGCATGAGGCGATTGAGATGAGAAAAAATCTGGATCCGTTTACATACATGGTCAACCGTGCAGTAAATGGACGCCTGATAAATATGTCGATGGTCCAGATCGGAGAAGCCATGGCTCGTATTAACTTCCATCCGCAGTATCTCAATAATAATAGTGCAGGAGAAGGCAATTTTAAGCCATGTGAATGCTTGATTCTGTAAAATATCTTTTATTAATTTAGAATCGAATGCTCGTCTACGTATCGATATTTCCGGGATCAGAAAGGTGCAAACTGCACAACTGCAACTGGTTTTTCTAAGATTCTACCAAATCCATTTAGAAAAAATATTATGGATCTTCAAACCACTGGGCGCGGTCCTCCTTGGCGCAAGTTATAAATCGAAAAGAAATTAATATTGAATAAGTTAACAGTCGAGTGACATCTAAAATCTAAAGCGTTTTTAAAACTTCGACACTGGCCGGAAATTTTCTTTTCACAGAAAATAACCATAAGTGTCGTATTGTGTGTCATATTTAAAAGTGCCGTTTCTCGGATCTCTATATTGTGTAACCAGGATGTGTCTTGCTTAGCTGCAGCGCAGGGCTGAACGACTTCGGGCAAGTGTTGAAAATATCTCTACAACTTCGCTTCGTCTGACTGGCCTTCCTAATGAAGAAACAGTTACTCTATTCATTTCTCTCTCTCACTTCTCCATAGTAGCTTGCGTCGCTCTGCTTCAATTGCGACCACTACAAGTCTGGACATCGGCTCACGACACATCAATGGCCACGACCAACATGGTTTCGCCATTACCTGCCTTAAGTAGATTTTTTGATATCGTTTCAGTTAGTCCCAATATGCATTAAGGGTCTAGCTAAGGCTGTCAAAGGTCGCCTCATAAAAGTCACGAAGGGACAGAGTCCATGAGGACACGGACGGAATGAAGCGGAGCGGGACTATTGCGCTCTACCTTAACTGGTTCTAGCGAGTCGTAGTATTTGGGAGCCTAAGGCGTGGAGCAACCTTTCGCAGGGTGTGCGACTACTCAACATTGATGCGGTGGTTACTGCCTGTCGTTTTCCAATCACCAACAATGTTAGTAAAGCGTCTGGCGAAACATATGAAATTTGGAAGGACTCTAAAGGAAATGTGTAAGTTATAAGCAGACATTTCCCGACTGCCGGGGTATCAAAAGGTTATAGATTAATTAACGACTCTCAGCTTATATTGACAAGTCGTGTGTGAAAATGATGAGTCCTTTTTTAAGCTTACATATTCGTGTGACGTTATGTTGTTAGGGGCGAAATGTTTAGCAAGAATTCCGTGTTCTTTTGCAATGAATAGCTTCAGACTCATGAATGTCAAGCGAATATATCCTGATATGAATACGCATATGGCTACGAGTGATGTGTGGACCTAGGCCCCTCTTTTTAATTAAGGCCACTTAAAGGTGAAGGCAAAACGGTTCAAGTCTGCCAATATAGATTATGACCTTTCGCATTCTTGTAGACGAATGTCGCATTGCCGCATCGAGGTTGCACTAATAAAGCCCAGCATCTTCAGAAAGCCATCAATTGAAGTAGGCTCTAGGAATAAACGCACGACAATACTTTGACGAAAAAAAATAACGTGCCGTATATAACTAAGCAGGATTTTCTTAATCGGCCTTTCATTTTCCTATAGTTTACTACATAGCAATAGCCTTTAGATGTTCTTCATTTTATGGAAATGGCAAGCACAAAACTCCTTTTTACAGAAGCATCGTTCGTTACCGTAATATAGGTTCGTATACACGTGAATATGAATATCTAAGGACGAAACTGAGTTGGCACAATGTTTTCTTTTACTTTGTTTATAGCCATTCTTTTTACGGCAAATATACTGCAAGCCTACCCATTTGTGTCTAAAAAAGATGCGATTACTTTTCGTCAATGGTGGATACACGAACACGAATTCTCGATAAAAATATAGCAGGCGTATTAACATACGTTTAGGATAGGCGGATCTCGGCGTAGGTACTGCAAAAAGTTAGGTCCTGCTAGATAAGTGGTCTTTTTTAAATAGGACTAGAGTTTTCAAGGCTATTTCAAGGCTAACAAACTCCTATGAAGCTTTCTCTGAGAAGTATTAAAGTCATTTGGAGATTTCTTACGCAGAAAAGGTGTTACACTTTTCCAAAGGGTCGTCTCCCGAATTTTCTGATGCTAGTCGTGGTGATTGACTTAATCATTACTCTAACGAGGAAGTAAACATTTTCGAGTTCCACGTCTGATTGTGCTAAGCCATTATCGCCATTGATACCAACACTGTTACGTCGCTACGTATACCATAATGTTGCGACCCATTGGAATCAGTGGGAAAACAGCGTTAGTAATTAATTTCGACCAAAAACAGATCGGCAATTCAAATTTGGCCATCGCTTGCGTGGTGGTGTACATCAATTGTTCCGGCAACGAACGAATTTCCCGTCGAGTAAAAATGAATATTCTATTTTATAGAGCAATGTAGTGCTAGCACAACGAGGAGTATTATAGGCCCACCTCATACGCGGCTATGGTTGTCTTCCGCTGACCGCTCAGTGGTTTCCTAAATCGACGCCTCGCCGCCTACGTTCTTGTGTCGAACATAATTGCTCCTCCCTGGAACTGACGTCAAATAGCTGCTGGTGAAGAGATTTATGAGAGTCTCTAAAGTTATGAAGCCCTTCATACTGATCCGAAAATGGCGGGGTATTAGCTATTTGCCGTTCAGCACCTTGGACATTCATACGTACGATAGCGGTAGCCAGTGATCCAGTTGAGCTTTTGCAGGCCACTGCCTGAACCCCTTGGTCGGACAGCGATCTAGGAAGAGGACGTAGAAGGAAAACAGCATCGAGAGAAAATCATTGGCAGCTGTTGTTGCTGGCTTTGCTTCAAGTGAGCAGGTGCAAGCCAGAGATAGTGGGTTTGCAAAATCCTTTCGGATGCGTCAGAGAAGGCAAATTGCGACGTCGGATCGTATAGCATACACAGACGACTATTAATAAGCGACCAGATTAAAAGGCTGCTACGACTATTAATGTTGAGTGGACAAGTGCGCAGACGGATTTCCCTCCATGTACCCCCGTCGCAATTATTTTCCGTGTTCATTATAATGTATACCGTATTTAAATTAGCACGTAAACATCTATTAATATGCTTGTAAATATAATTCTTCAAGGCGAATTTAAATCTTACAAATATGCGCATGCTATAGCCACATCACGACAAATTTCAAGGATTTTGTCTAATACTTAGTACAATCTTAAGTGGCCATTTGTCATCTGCTAGTGTCTCGTAATCAGGTGATCACTATTTCCTTTTATATACAAAATGGCAAAGACATGGAGGTATATACATTTGTAATAGATACTATCTGGGTAATAAATTGTTCGTGACACAACGACGACGGCTTTTCGCTCAGCCTCAAGGTCAGAATATCTGTATCGAGGAAAAGTTGCTATTATAGCAGCTGAAACAGCGAACCGGCTATTCCTGACTACATTGCAATATGCAGTTATCTAAAGCATGTCAAGAATTAAGTTCGCCCAAACTTTCGCGTTAAAACTGATGCACAACTTCAAGTGCAGCCTTTTTTTACACAGCATTCACAGTAATGCAATATGTAGTTCAAAAAACAGGTAACTTTTATCAAGTTAGTAGTCATCCGTGAACCTTGTGGGCCCCGTCGCAACGTAGGCAGGATACGTAAACTCTCTGGAACGGTTAAAAGAGTTTACAGCTGTAGCAGTTCCAGTTGCTTTTAATATCTCTGGGCGTTTCGAAATCCTTTTTTACACAGGTGGTTAAAGCACACAAGCTGCTGCTTGCGTTTTACGCATATGACAATGCCTTCTTCCTGCTATCGTCCTGCTTTGGGATAGAAACAGCTCAGAATGGTGAAACTGTTTACAGCTGATCCGGGACTCGTTTCACTCCTGTAGCGTCTACGTCCCCTACACAATCTGATGTTGTATCTGCTAAGTGGAAGTACTCTTTGTTCGGGGACATTTGGTTCAGAACACAAAACGTGATAACCACTTGGTGGTATCAGTCTTTCAGCATAACTATAGAATTAAAAGATTGTCCATAATTATATCATAGCACACAGTTAACAAAAACGCAAACGACTGTGTAAATTATAATTGGCCAGAGCGGGCCGGCGTTTCTTCAAGGAAACTGTCATACAAATAATTGATAATTTGCAGAAAAATTGGAAAAATAACCTGCCTGAGAGTACAACTCGGCCTAGTGTGTGAACAATGTAACTCTGTTCAAAAATAAGGCTGTTAAGATTTTGCGCTACTGAATTATCGCTCGGGGCCCGATTTTGTCTTGCCAAAAAGAGCAGGTCTCTTGGAAGTCGCACAATATATACCTAAAAACAAGGTGCTTTTCACGATTTTTTTCTACCGTCGGGAAATCGTTCTCCATGAGTTTATGCCGCCCGGTTTTTCGACCACCGAGGAGTATTACCGAGAAGCCTTGGGGGTTCGTTCGACGCGAGGAACCAGAAATGAGGCAAACAAATACTGGGTCTTTTATCACGAAAATGCACTGGCGCACCTTCCACCATTGTACAAAAGCTTTTGCAAAAAACCGATGAATATATAGCTCCAACCGGCGTATTTACAAGATTTAGCTACCTGCGACGTTCCCCTATTTGCAAAACTAAAGAAAAGCCTCGAGGACAAGCGTTTCAGCTCGACATAAGAAATGAAAAAAATCGCTAACCTAAGCGACGATCAATTTTGGAAAGTATTTTTGCCACTAGAAAGAAAGGTGCTGTAGGTGAGTTGCATCCGACGGGAATCCTTTCTAAGAGAACTTATTTTAGGACGATTAAATAATTACGTAGTGCCGAATATTTGCTGGAATAAACGCTTTATTCGTTTTTAATATATATATATACCAACGCACCGTATTTCATGCCCATTATGCCATTTGTCGTTGGCATTACCAATATGCTACATGTGATTGCTTTTTAATACATACAGCATGGCCGTACTTCACTGCTCGGGTTTAACAACATAGTCGACATACGCATCATATTACGGATCATTACGGTCATGGGTTAACCATGGATCATTTCTCTATAAAAAAAAAAATAATAGACAACCACGTGGGTTCTACAGACTTCAGCACGATTAAACTGGTTCAGGAAACAACGTCCACAGTGTTATAGCTCCCCTCAGTCCTTAAACAAATGGCAATCATCTAAATGCCAGTGCTTGTGTTATTCAAGATCCTGCTCCACATTGCGCAGTACAATCAAACCTTTATGACGGCACGAATCCTTGGAAAACGCATGTTTGGCGTACTAAGTGTTTGGTAACGGAATCTTTAACTTTTTTACTATTAAAAGTTGAAATTTTTCATGAAAAGACAATCGTTAATATTAATCCATTAATCAATTTCTTCTTCAACCTTCCTAAGACTCGCTAGCTGTGTGTCCTTAGCATGTAACGGACGGACGGTTCTAAGCGCTAAAAGGTTCGCCAACAATTTCCTTCTTGGGTAACAATTTTGAGGCTGGTACAGTACGATTTTACATCATTTTTTGAGCGATCTTTTTAGGCCATCTTTTTTTTCCAGGGTATGGTGAAGGATAAATAGGCCGGCATCGATTTAGTTCGATCATATCGCCTTTTTTTGCAATAATTGACACCTAGGTGAACAATGAGAGTAAACGTACTACCATAGGTCAAAATAGTACCACGTGTAGCATAATTATTGGATGCATTCAGGCTGATAATTATAAGAATCAGAAGTATCGACGTGTGCGTTCGATCCCAAGGTTGAGCAATACAAACAGCTAGTCGTCATTGATTTCCATTCTGGTTTCATTCCACCCATATGACGTTCGAGGCATATGGGTGGGATGTATCTAACGGTCATAGTAGATATAAAACCCAAAACCGTTGTTTATATTTCCACACTTTTTAACTATTGTTCATCACACTAATTACTATAGAATTATAACGAAATGCAGCAGCGGACCTAGAGCGCTTCTGCCGCTAAAACATCTTTGTTCTGAGCTGCAACGGGCGTCATCCTTTAGGGGGACGTTCCATGAACTTGTCCTTATTTGAAGTACTGGTCTTAAATATAAGCAACTTGTTGTACATACCTTATTTGTAGAACTTGCTCTTTATTTGAGAGTATACCGCAGGCCCCCAAGAGGCGCATGATCAAAATACAAAAAAAAACTCCCTTGCAAAAAGGCTATTCCACTTGCAAATTGGTTTCTTTCCTAACCTTCAATGCAAGCTCATTCCCGTGCCCTTTCCGTGCCATTCGCGAATTGACCCCGTCCAAAAAGAAATACTGTCGAATACACAGACGATACTTCCAAAGCGTTTTTATCTAAAAAAAACAAAAGGCTTACTGGCTCGTTTATCTCGTCTCAATAACGTTGTATTTGTCTGCTATTCGCTCCGCGGTAAAGAATTTCCTTTCGTTGTCCGTATGTTTTTGTTCCTCTTTCCTTGCTGGTTTCCAGAAGCTAACGTTGTATCGTTCCTGATAAGACGACTTTCGAGAGGCAACAACTCTCAGGCGTTTGAAAAAGGTAGAATTTTAAAAGGGCAGGGTTGTTAAAATGGAATCTAGGTTTAGAGACAGAGAGCAGTTGGCTCAACGGGGGAAGACACACTAGAGTCTGTTAAACCGCAAAGATTACCTGAGTTACGTCTGAATCTGGGCTAAACTGGGGATCCTTTGCTTTTATCAAGAAAAATTTAGGAAATTATAGAAATTAGTGTTAATTTAAAACAGCTCGTGCAAACGTTCTTGTACACAGATCGAGTACACGTGCAGCTTGAATATAAACACGCCAATAAGTCTAAAAGCAAACTTCTAGTATTCTTCTGATGTTAACAATTTTGACAAAACCTAAAAACCACACAGTAATGCATTTCAGATATTCGAATGGTGTTCCGAGATGGTTTAAAACGATTGGTTAGGCCGTTTCAAGGACTGCGTGGCTCCGTTACGAACTAACTTACATATGACATTATGACAAATACGCATTTTTCCATCATTTTGAATCGCTTGGAATTATTTTCAATTATTATTTTGATAGATTTGACGCTGTTTTGCATAAAATTAAAAGCTGTGTTAGTTTGGGCTATTCGGCAAAAAATTGCCCCTTTACATCACTGTAGAAAGAACCCTCGTTACGTGAATTATTGCGTGGCTGTAACCAACCAAAGTATGGCCAGTTTCTTTTACTACCTGCACTGTGTTGCCATTGTAACCCGCTCGCTTTAAATATAACGCTGTTTCCGGAACGTTGTTCGCTTACTGGCTGTCGATAGACAGTCATCACAGTCAGTCTTGCCTAGGCCAAGTGGAATAGGCCTCCGCGGTAAAATGACGGTAGAATAAGTGACTTGTGCGAAATTCAATATTAACTGAAAGGGATAGGAGACTAATTTTTCCGAAAACAAGGAACGTTCCATAATCCTTTTTGATAGCTCACATTCTATTCAGGTGAGACAGTTGTTGCAGATATATGTAAAACTACACGCTGCGTATTTTTAAAACCTACATTAACAAAGATGTGTTATGTAACGTATTTTACATTTACGTAAATACCGAACTAAATCACTTGAATATCTCTTTAGATATGCGACGAACGCTATTTTGTTGATTTTCTATATTTTTGACTATACGTTTGATCACAACAGGTCAATAATGATTTAACCATATCAAACTACTCCACTTTTGGTCGCAACGTGAGACGCTAACATGGTTGACTGCCTAAGAATGGAAGAGGGTAAGCATCGCTGGAAATGATCTTGTTTTTTTCAATATACTGACGTCTTTCCCGCACACCCAAGGCGGAAAAACTATATATCGCTTCTAGACATGGACAAGTAGAGAAGGGGGAACAGTCGGCAAAAAAACAGAAGAATCTGATCGCTTCTAGCCTCTGCCGTCGTTTGCGATGTCTTTCGGTGCCATCGAATTCCCTACACATCGCTTCACCTATCTACCTTCAGACGAAATCGGGTCAAGAGCGAAGTCAATGAGGGCAGCCTTCGTCGACCGCTCTAAGGTCACCTTCTTCTGCCAGTTTTTTTCTTCAGTTGACAACGACACACAGCGGGACCAAGAAACGGTATGGCATAAAAGCCAATGTTATTCGATGTCCGTTCGATTGCAGACGGTAAGGGTAAGTTCTTCCTCTCTCTTGGTCCAGCCCACTGAACTCTCGAATTGGTCGTTCAAGTTCGTCGTTAACATCATCTCCGCAATGGGCACAGCCGATAGCTCAGGCCTTCAGTCGCTTGATCTCACTACCTAACCTAACCTAAACTATGGTCGGTAGCATTCAATCAGTGTTGCTTTAACCTTAGAGCCTGTTCAATTTCGTTTGCAAAGGTGTCTCTCAACATCTCAAACAGAACTGAGTTATTAGCTCATACAACAGCACGAAGTAAATGACTTACATATTGCTTATATGGGGCTTTACAAAGACTAGAAGTAAAGTCGGAGATGAGCCTGCAGAGATACGAAATGCATGAGAGAGAAAAAGAGCCCTACCAACATGTTGGGTTAACTGAAAAAATATTCAGAGGGCGCCCAGTGATTCGAAGGCAAACACAGTATACTGCAACTCCATATACATATATATGCTGATAAAACCAGATGTGAACGCCATAGTATACTTCGTATCTGCAGATGGCAAGAACATTCGTTCCGTATCAAACTGTATCTACTACACTGGACTGGTTTCGAATGTTGTTTATTATCGATGAAGCTTATAAGAAGTTGCAAATACAAAAAAATGATGACGTACTAAGGACGTTCGGTCGTTAAGTAGGACGTTAAATATTCAGCTTTCTAACCTGGTGTTGGCTGGTTTGTCCTTTGGCGAATCAAACCCTGCCTATTACAGTATCGCGACAAAAGAGCACAGATTTGTTCCGGACCAGGCACCTGACGAAAAACTAGAACATTTGCAAGAAAACTCTCCGTCAAGGTATCCTTCGTCGTTAGCAAATCCCTGACGATAGCTTCGTCTGCATACAGCTAGCAACGGCCTGACGTGATTGTTGAGCCTATCGCAGAGCTCACAGATGACCGAAATTAATATTGCGGGTTATCGTTCACGCTGCCCAGTAGTTAATGGTGCCTCTTTACCGCACCTGCGTCAACCAACTTCCCTATGCTACTGGAATAGCAAGCCAAATGGCAGAGAAGTTTGGATAACAGTATAATCCCGTCCCATAGCAGTCCGTACATTACATGCGACCATCGTCGACCTTGTGTGCAGTACAGGTAAACGCTTGTAGCGTCTACGGAAAAATGCACCGTGAAGCAGGAACAAAGGAGCGTTGAACCGTTAATTAAAATAATCGAATATGAAAAAAGTGAGCTGTCGTATTGCGAAATTGTCCGTCACAAATGGTATTACCGAATCGTAGTCAAAACCAACTAGAATAGTACATAATATCAGAGATAGATTGTTACAGATTTAAAAATATGATGAAATACGTCATTTCCGTGCACGTCATTGACGTGCCCGTTCGTCGCACGAACGTTTTACTCCGGCTGTCCTTCCCCACCGAAACGAATCTTTATTTCATTACCGAAGCATGCGATCTCCACCTGACTATTTCAGCACAGACCGGAGCCGCCTTTATATTCGACGTTTATCGAGTTCAAGCGAACCCGTATGCATGGCTCCAAATATCTTGTAAAGATTGGCCGCCTTTATGGGATCCGAACACTTTCTTTGTTAATTCTTGCTAGATTCCTCTAGTTGGATCTTATAGGCAGCTTTATGTTAGCTATCTGACAACCGGCCCATATATATATATAATACATACAGTAAGTTTATATAAGCGAGTACGTGAATGAATTCAGTATCCGCTCGACCTCGCAGCTGTTCGATGCTGGTAGCTTTAGTTGTTCCGAATATATTGTGTGCAGCATTGCGAATATTCACTACCGACAACTTGTCAGTAACACCGTGAACACTCTTCATTGCTGAGAACTAATAGAAAAAAAATGGCCAAAATATTGACAGGTACGACCACGTGTAGTGTATAACATGAGGCAAGCGAGCGTATAAATCTATACCTGTAAATAGTCATGTACTAGTTTTGCTAATACGAGCCAGAGTCTAAAGGGAATTTGGGTGTTGATGGTAATATTTGGGGTAATAGATAGGGAAAAAAATCACAGCAAGCGTAAGTTTGTGATTAATTCGTCGATACCAATTGTATCAAAGAATTGCATTTATTGCTGCTACTGAATTTCTTTCTGAGTTTCATTCATTTATTAGGAAAGTAGCTCAAGTATATCTCAACTGTAAACTACGATAATAGAAATTTTAGGCACGGTAATTTGGCTTCATTTATCATGGCATATTTTGAGATGTCCTTAGGAGCGAGGCGATGCTTATATGTAAAGAAACGCTGTCATTGGGCTATTTTTTGCCCATGTTTTTAAAAACACTGTTTTAGTTTTAATATTAAAAACATTACGAAATCATAGGCACAACAAAGAAGACAGTTCCGTATCGTACAAACAAACCTTGATTGCTAGAGCAGTTATATAATATCCATTATACAAGGTAAAGATGTAGCAATGAAACTAGCGTATTAAGAGTTGTCTACATCCTGTTGCCAGGACTATTGCGGCGGCTGTCGAAATTGGCTTATATTACATTTACCGTCCGCCTTGGTAAGCGGTGTCCCTTTCATCATATTATTCACTATAATATTGTCAGGATATAACTTAGATACTTTTCTTTATAATATTTATTATAATATATAATATGACACATTAAATTAGATCGGTGTAGTTCGATGCTTCGCAGTATTTTCATTCGTTCTTTGACGGTCTCTAGTGTCGATTTTGTAACTAACTCCTCACAGATTACTAAATAAACAGCTTTCGGTTTTTTTTTTTAATGGGCACTAAGTTACTCAGCCCAACGACGATTATCATTAGACAGAATAGAAAACTAATATCGTTAACCACACGTTGCCAAAAGCGACGCCGGTAAGGTTTTTGTCTGAAAGGCATCAGAGTGAGCGAATATAGGCATATGACAAGTTATCCAGCTTCTCATACAGCATACGTTGAGTTGACTAAACTTTAGGACTTTAACCGTTTTAAAGACGAACAAGAGAGACGATTCACATTGGAAATGAATGATAATAATCATTGTCTATGTTTGCAGGGGAACCCTATTTATTTTCTAGGACATACAAAGTTTAGACAAGAGAGACGCAAGCAGTAGTGCTTGAACATATTTGAGGAATAAACTTAATTGCTAAGTTTAACTTTTTCGCTATCTATTTCCTAAAATTGGCGAATGTGGCATATAGCGTAAATCGTCAAAGGCGTGCGTCGTTAGTCAACTGCAAGGAAGCCGTAACATCTTTGGTGCATACTTTCTCCGACCAAAGGGTCAACAGACAATGCCCCATATACTTCTATAGGTACGCACATACACGTCTGAGCGACTATGACCAGTTGCTATGTGCAACAGTTACTATTCAAATGATCTTGTTTGACAAATATCGCATATAACCTTCAACATGTATGTCTAGATCTTACGCACGTACATGCCTGCATACATAATTATTAATTAAACGGATACAGGTGGAAGACCGATTACAGGGTGATACGGCACCTTGTCTAAGGAATAATAGAACACGGCCTGTCGAGAAAACAAGGGGTGGATGGTGAGAGTTGCCAATTTCCACACCATGTGCTGGCAAAACATTATCCGGTGTTCTCACCCGGTTTCACCATCGGCTTAGCTTCTTTCAGCATTTCGAATTTGCGGTGCTCTAATTAGTTTATGTGAAAGCGCTGCTTACCGTAGGTGCCTGCACCAGCTGCCGCGGTCTTGTCGGATTTCGGGGGCAACCAATAACGATGTTCAACTTTAAAAATTGGCGTCAGCGTCTGCAGCAGCGACAAAGACACCAACGAGAGGCTTTAGTTTTCGGCTATTTCAGATGTATCTAGGGCAGCTAGGCTATGGTGGCCGATTTCGTTACCGGTCAAATGGCCGATTGCAGAACCCGTCTTGTTGGGACGGCTTTCGACTTTAGACATTCGCAGCATCAACGTTTCGAAGACAGCCTAAGGCAGCACTTGTGTTCCGAGCTCGAAGAACGCATACCGCATAGCCGACGGGTACGAGCTAGTTGGAGCTAACGAGAAATGGCGAGAGGATACGGCGTATTATTAAATATTGCCTGAGGAGACAATATGCCATACAAACAGATGCGGGGCTCGACACTAAGGCATAGATTATATGCGCGTACATATATATACGAAGTAATTACAAGACAGAGATGACTGCAATGTATAAATAGTTATTGAATTCCTGTGGCACAGTTCATAAAATATCCGACCAAAGGCTGTTCTGTGAAGACGATTCTTTTTGTATTACGAGGTCGATCGCTGTTTCTAAATTACGCCATAGAGATTAACTTAAATCACATAAGTTATAACTTAAAAAATTCACCACCAGTGTAAAACGATCGGAAACAATGTGCGGCAAAATTGTGGTACAATAATATATTGCTATTTTGCAGGACGGTTGTCGCTCTTTATTCTGGGTCACATGCGACACGCCAGGACTATTTATAAAAACTGGTTAGGTTCTATTTGTTCTGATCGTATCCTCTTTAACAGGAACCTAACTCTTGCGTTGTTTTCGAGATAGACACAAACAATCATTTGAGTTCCGGTGAATATTCATATGTCGCTCTAATAGATATTTAAGACAGAGAGCAATCGTAGTCTTTTTCTAACACCGTGGAGAAGTACAAGAGACAAAATTACTAATCAAAAAGCATTAAAATCTATTTCACAGTTAATCATGATAATTGAACAGCGTTCGTGCTCCAATGAAGCAGCTGATTTTAGCTTGTGTCTCTGAAGTCATGATTAGCTTGAAAGGTACTTAACTTAGTAAACCGCAAGCTTAATATGAAGCTCCTCGATCGGAAGCTGCATAGCGCACCTCGAAACGGGAGGGCTGCAGTGTAGAATTAGAACGTGTGTGTGCGATTCACGCGACCCCTCCGACTAGCTTTTCACATTACCACTTCCCGTATCACTGAGTCCCATCAAGTCAATACCAAAACCCATTTAGCCATACCAGATAAAGCAGGCGCCAAACAGCGGGTGCCTTTAGCGTTTCCAATGACGCTTAGGCGAGATTTCCAAAGCTAAGGCCATAGGCAAAGATCTAAAAAAAAACGAATACTCGGGGGGGCAAGGGTTCGCAGTTAGGGGATTATTAGGGCATCCAAACCCAGCCCAGCCATTACCCATTGCGGTTCTCTTCAGTAAAAGAAGCACAGTGAACAGTGAGTGAGGGGCTATTAGTTCACTGTGCGTGACGAAAGCCACGTGCCGACGTCGGGTCAGTCGTAAAGCGTCTGCCTTTGCGTGTTCTGCTTGTGCGTGTTAGTTTGCCTTAGTTTCGACCTTCTGCATTCAGTTGGATGGAGTGTTCCCTCCAGATAAGCAGCAAGGAAAGAAACACTTTTCCAGACAAACCCCTGACTGAGACACGCGTCGCAAAGTAGGGAGTCGCGTGTAGATTCAATGTAGATGTATAAAGGCGCAATGCAATTCTGTTTGAACCAAATGTGTTAGGTTTCCTTGCTTGGAAGTCCAGCCAAGCCAAAAAGAAATCCGCGTTCCTTTTAGCTGTTAAGCCCTAGGGAAGGACGCAACATCTGTGATTGGCTGTGTCTACTGAGAACAGGTATTTATTTATGTCCCTATAGTTGTAAACGTGCGTCACGTCAGGGCGATGTGTATTCTTCGTTTGATTTTGCAAACCTCTGAAGCTTTGCCTACATTAACCAATTGAAAAGCGTCGTTTCACTAGAAGCAAATAAAGAAATTGAAGAGAATCATGGTAGAAACTCTATAATACCTATGCCCTTAGAATTAGTGCGTAAAAGAATACCTAACCTACGAAATATAGGAACCAATAGATACTCTCAAATATTATACTACTAAATAATAATCGTTTTGTGGACTAACCAGGTTCGAATGCTGTGAGACCTGATGTGAAGCTAAATATAACATCTTTTTTGTAGTACTGATTCGTGACCGATAGCGAGATACCTTTCTTTTAATGTTAATCAATAATCCTTTTTACTATACAGAGTAATCTATGTAAACTGATAGAGTCTTCAAAGTGCTATCTGTTGTTTTTCAAGGTTTGCTCATCTGATGTCTGTGGCACTATTGTAAAGCTTATTGTAAATGGAGCGTAGACATATGGGAACACATAGACTAAGACCGAGACCCATTTTCGGAAAATGACTTCATGAGAAGGTATTGATTAGTGTCTCAGCGTAATATTGACCTCGCCAGGATTATAATTCTTTTCAGTGGCTCAAGATCGACGGTGTACATTGCTGCTGGTCCTCAACGGGTTTCGAGGAAGATTTCGTAGAATCTTTCCATGGGGCAAACTGGACAATCTAGAATAGGAATTAGATTGAAAAAGCTCCCAAACTTATCAAAATAGCTCAAAAAGCCGTCTCTGATTATCGAGAATTTTAATGCTGAAATTAGCAGCTGCTGTAGAGAAGAGAGAAACGGCTGTCTGCCAAATTGGCCAGATAAGGTTGTTTATCGTTTTGCGTTTTTCTAAACATTTTAAACTTTTTGGCTTTCATTGATTCGTTATTTTTTTAGAGGGAGGGATACTTGGGGGTGCTATCCTCCCCAAATATCGCTCTACGCACGGTCTCTATTAGAAGTAGTCGCAAATTTGAAAAGGAGTTCGTTCAAATGACTTGTAAGCTGGTTGGGGTTTTGGATAGGGGCCAGGCCATTCAGTGATTACGTCAGGCAGAGAATGCCTGTGTCGTTACGTATCTAGATTTTTTGAATCCAGATATGGGCTTTTATTATTTTAACTTCACCTGAGCTGTATAATCTAAAAATGCATTCCTATAAAGGTTACGCTTAACCAATGTGCGAGTACCTGCAAATGTTAGGTACCCGTTGCAACGAGTGGTCATGTCCTCGCGTAGTAAGTAGAAGGCATAGGCTGTTGATATTGCATAGTTGTGAAACTTTTCTAGGCTCCCTTGACATATAGCTCTCAAATATACCGTGTAATAATAGAAAAATCCTTTTTTGACTAGTTCAACGGAGCCGCCTTCAGGTGCGGAGTCAATTTCGTCGTCTACTTACGGCATTAATATGCTGAGGATGTGTACCACCGCCAGCGAAGAGTACTTGATATCTAGCCATTCGATTGCACTAACAAGACAAATCATCCAATCAGGTTTTACCTTGGAAGCTAGAACATCGTATTGCTTACAGACAGTTTCGAACGAATGCCAACCAATCAATAATTATGGTAAAATGAAACGTGAACGCAGCGGTTACGAACGAAAGTCAATCTAAACACACGGACATCCCGAAGCGAAGCTCGCAAGAAGTGTGTCAACATATATCGAAAACATAAATATGCTATTTGGAAACAGCTAAGCTACAAGTACTCGATGTTGAAATAGGGACAAACAATACCAATCCGAACGAAACGCAAATGGACAATGATCCCAACTTCACCTCAAGAAAGCCTTACCACTAGAATGACCCACATGTCTCCACAAGCTAAGCTGACCATAGACGTACCGAAGACTAATGGGATCAAGAAGACCACAACGAGATACTATAAGACACAGTCCCTATATGATCGTTACTGCGCCGGCCCTGACTGTTCATGAAGTTGGGCTATTGCAGCGGCCTGCTCGCTACTGAATTTCTTCACCCTGGCAGTATAAGGGTCAGGGAGCATTTTATTTCTGAACGTCATTGAGTTCTACGACGCCTCACAAGCAGGTGCATCGTGGCCACCCTCTTTGGTCGGCGCTAGCTCCAGTTTGTCAGGTCAGGTCGAATCTATGTTGCTCGAAACCATCCAGTCAGGAACGGTCAAGGTCATAAACATGTAGGCTCGTAACAATAGTTAATGATACCAGTTGGAAGTGTAAACACTGTCTTATATTAGACTATATGTGGGGTGCTAACTGCCGTAGGTTGCTTTGCTTAACAATCCAATACTGTTATTTACCACTAGATAAACCTTTGCACTCTACCAGTGTGGATCATCTAGATTTTTCTTCTGGAATGGACCCTTGTTGCGTATGTGTCTGTTTGTCGGTCATACATCGCGGCGCCTCTCGTTTTAGAGGACTGAAAGTTGATGGAACGCAAGTTGTAAGTCGCTGATGATTTCACATGGATCAATACTACGTCAACAGCCTCGTTGTAGAAAGATTACATTAAGCCATTTGTGGAAATATAGTTTCGAGCTCACGCCAAGAATAATGTCTGACCGATGTTTTCCTTTAAAATGGCGATGCTAATGGTGCCCGATCTGGTACAGAATATCCGATTAGTTTGCTACTTAACACACCATTAACTGTAGAGCGAGTCTTTTCTAATTATGACCATACTTACGATTCAGGTTTGATAACTGGCTGTTTAACAAGTCGATTCGGGCCTCGTTGCATTGCCTTAATTGGGTCCGCCATTTCGTGCGCCGCGATAACAGCTTGTTACTTCGCTGATGACGTTAATAAGTTTACAATTGTTTGTCAAGTCCTTCATGGTGAGTCGATGTCATTCCATATTAATTTCCTTGTAACATCTCTGTGCATTCAGCTTGCCCTTTCTTAATACCGCACTTGAAACATATATTCTTTTTTTCGAAATACGGAAGCGTTCATCACGTATTGACAGACCTTTTCTAACAAATCTCTCAGCTAAAATGTTCGGCTATTTATTTAAGATAGGATTGGTAACGAATAATTTAATGCGCTTGATGACACAAAGAAAAATACTGCTACTTAGCAAGTTGCATATAAGGATAAAAGCGAATTTTTATCCACAAAGAAACAATGTGGACGAAGTGTTGGTCTTAATCTTAACATGTCCGCCGTGGCTGTCTGCTAGACAACAATAAGGTAGATACCATTTTCTAAATATCGTCGCCCATATGACGAATACATAAAAAAATAAGGGTAGCCGATATTTTTGTTACATACAATAGTAGCATGAATGTGGTAATTTTTTTCTTATTCTTTAAAATCTCGAAATTAATATTTTTCCGTCAGCAAGCAAAAAGTATAGATAACTTTTTACATTTGTCGAGTTTGAACCTCCAGAAGAAGGTCTGAATTAACTAACTGACAATTACTGAAAGATTTCAGCGTGTGTATATATAGCTATTTAATTTATATACAGCTAGTTTTACCCGTAAGTGAAGGTGTGTCAACGCTTTGTTTACCATCTATTTAAGTAGGTATAATAAATATATAAAGCGATTCTAGCGGAACGGAATAATGGCAATGAGGACGTGTGACTCATCGTCTCTACTCGCAAAAGATCGAAACATTAAACATAAGTGTCTTTATCAGTGGTATGAATAGACATTCATTTAACTAGAGTTATCTATGAAATGTGCAGTCACTTTTATTCGATAGGTGGTGGCCAGCGATATAATCTATACGGGCTCTTCGCTGAGGTCATTGTTCCTTCTGAATTTCCTCGAGCACGTCATGTTTAGTCTGGGATTTCACGCGGGAATTACTCTGCTCGGGGCCATGATATCACACGCTATAGCCTGCGCCCTATTGATTAGAATGCCCCCGAGCTCAATGTCGAGTAGGTATGCTTAATTCCAAATAATACACTTACTAGATGAATTCGCAATTGTAATCTAAAAAAAATTAAATAAGCCGGTATTTACTCTTTTAGAAAATTCTCCCATCCCTCCTTTTTGACAGTAGCATCATGGTTACGAAATTAGAATAATCTTAATATATTATTTTGTTACTTTTCTATTAAGTGTTTGGTGTTTTTCATAAGACAAATGAAGACATTTAAAGTAACAGAAAGGAAGGGCTTTAAATGAACGCAGGTTATTTGGCCGCGATATCACTGTCTTAACTAACGAAGATGGCAATTTCGTAGAATGGAAATGTTCCCAAGCTTATCGCTAGTTGGCGCCACAGTACCCGCAAGATTGACACCCAGATAATTGGCTCAGAACATTGATTACTGATTTAGGGGAATAGATAAGGATCATTTATGAAAAAGCCTTTGCATACAACCTTTACACATATTTCAGTGGTACCCAAAAGACGACTTCTGGCCAACCATTTCCACGCTCTTCAACGGTAAGTTAACTAAGTTAACCTGGGTAAGATTCTTTTATCTTTCGTAAAGTGTATTGTCCAAGCTCGTTATTGTTCTTTGGCTTTTTTTAGCCAGTTCAGGAAGGGATGGATGAAGATGTAGAGGCCGCCGGGGGAAGAGGTGGCGACGAGAACAGGGAGGCTTTGTCTGTTCCTGGTTGCGATACGCATACGCGCAACAGATCAACAGGACGCCAGCTTTCATGTACCGGACGTTGGCGTCCTGGAAGTGAGTTCGTATCATTGCAAAAAATCGTTATAATCATGTTTAAATCAACCCTTTGCTGGATGGAGGGAACCTTGGTTGCTAATGACTGTGTGGTATTCCGTTGCCCCAAATTGGGTTGCCTTAGTGTCCTTCGCTTACAAAAACCCTTTTTTAGAAAAAAAAAAGAAAACGGCAACTTTTTTCTTAATCCATTTTTTGTTATTGCTAAGTAGATAGCCGAACGTAAATGGCCGAACGGAGATAAGCCTCGCCGTCTTCACGTTTTCAACATAGAATAAATATGAACCTTTCTTTCATAGTGGATTTTTATACCGAACGAAATGTTTAGCGTTGTATGAAAAAATCTACACGTATATATATATATATATATGAGAGCAATTCTTCTTCACTTCTAAGCTGATATCTTACAACTTATGTCATATAATATAGCCCGAACATTAATAAGTTAACAATATAGATAGAACATGCTAGCGTGCGGAACTTCAACAACAGCATCAATGTTCGGGCATTAATTTAAGATCGCCCTTCAACTTAAACGCGAGCTTAAATTAGACGTCCGCTTTGGTCGGGGATAAGGAATAACTTACCCACCTATATTACCATAGAACAATGGGCATAGTTAGATAAGCTGGCTAAAATAACTATTTCAACCACCTCTGTTAATTTTACTCGCGATACTTCGACTGCCTCAATCTCAGTAGTTACTGTGCAATCCGACGCATCAGTATTAATTATTATCATGATACTAATAATTTTATTATAAAACGATAATAACTTAATTAATTATAATAAACTTAATTGCTCTCATTAGCAATCTTTCTTAATTTCACAATGCGTAATGTCAAGTAAGGTGAACTTTCAATAGTTCCGCAGTCGTCAATTTAACTTACGTTTTAACTAACAGTCGAAGTACGCACCAGGGGGTAATAATAACGATACGTGTACCGTATACCAATACTATGTAGGGACTGCATTTGGTGCTACGGAGCGCAAGGCTGTTCAAGTAAAGAATGTCATCGTATTCTCGGACCTCTGAGGGTCAGTTGTCATGTTTTGATTCTAACTGACTTCCGGTGATAAATCGGTGATTTAGTGTATATCAAACTTCTCGTTGTTTTTATTCTCGTTGTTTTTATTAACAAAGTTAATTAGAATGCTGACACTTATAGGAACCGTGTATTAAAGTGATTCGAAGCTAACTAAATATAGATTTTGGCCATTAAATCCCGTCTTCATGAATTTTGCCTCGAAAACACATTTTACGACACCCATTCGATTGGTACGATGCTCTTATCTACTTTTTAAGCATATATCATAAATATGTGCTCGAAGGCTTAACAGAGAGCCGCCAATGGAGACGAAATGCAGACCATCAGTGGGGGCCTCGTCGCGATTCGATCAAATCGGTTTCAGTATCGACTGAAACTACTGCAGTTTACTCAGGCAAGTATATATTTATACATATCTGATCAGAATTAGTATACAACCGTTTTGACTTTGAAATAGAAAAAAAGAAGCTTTCTAATATGTGTCTTGCACTACCGGTCAAGGTTTAGCACCGATACAGGTTATCTGAAAGATCTAAGAACTTTTAGCATAATCCCCAGCATAGCTTACAGAGCTGCATCTTTATGAGTCCATTAGGTGGCTTATCATCATCTCGCCGGGAGTCGATCAGCTCTAATCATCGATTACGACTGCGTCAAAACGCTTCAGCTATCTCAGTACCGATCTCTTTGTTTGCCCCCGCAATCTCGATGGAGTGCGCTCCAGAACAGGACTTCGAAATTAATGAGGATTATGAAAGTTCTCATGCCACGGCGGCCGGGTATGCTGTAGTGAGAGTGCGCAAGCGGCCTCTTTTCCTTTGGGCTCTTGCTCATATATTTTGCGAGTGGACATAACTTATGCCTCAGATTATCATCAGGTTATAATTAAGCATATATGTTAGTTCCTATTACTAATAACTGCCCTAATTTAACTTCGATGCTCAAGCGGAAATACTGCTCACTATGATTGGCATAATTTCTGTAGCTTTATTTGAGATATTGTTACCTGATTTGAATACAAATAACTGCAACATTTACAGGCCCGAGCAACCCCTCAAGTGGATCTTGTTTCCAGAACGCTAATTTATGTCGTAGGATTGACATACGTTATGTTGATCCATTGTAGCACCGTTTTCCAGACTTTTATGCTTGACCATTCCAAGGTTGAAGCTCACAAAGCGATTTATCTTCTTTGGGGATTTGCCCTCCGTGATATTGCAGGTTTGTTATTAAATTAACGTCATCGCTTATAAATATACTGCTAATCCTAACTGTACAATATAATAGAAAAACATAGCCTGGCTTTACAGAGTTCGTCATTTGATCACTGTCATGCCTAATCAAGCCTACTACCCTATAATAATTGTTTACTCCATTGTGTCTGTATGTATCCGTATCATGGTATAATTAACTAGGATATGTCATACAAACTAACCTGAATCAGTTGAATCATAGTCATGTCGAGCTCAGCAGCAGTTGCTTTTTTTTTTTTTTTTGTAAATCTGACCATGCAGGCCGTCTCTCGGTAGGATTTGTTTCGGACATGGGCATCGTGTCTCGTCCGGTCGTCATCGGATGCGCTTCCATTACGTTTGGAGTTTGCTTATCGGCTGCGGCATTTGTCACAGGTATTGATCTTGTATTCCTATGATTTTCAAGTCGGACACTTTGAACGAAATAGACGTCCTATTCGAATTTGATTATAATACAGTGGATTCCCAAAAGTGTTTCACAATATGTCTATTATACATTCGCTAAAACGAAATGATGTTTTTACTCTTTCGGAAAACACTAACACCACGACTTGCGCAATCAAATCATGCTTTTCACAGGTTTCCCTGCTATGTTATTGCTTTGTATGGCAATTGGCTTCAGCTTAGGAACTCCTATTGTCATTGTCACTGTACTGGTGGATGACTACGCTGATAATCTATCCCATATTGCGATGTATATTGGTTGAATGGGCTCCGCAGCGGGTGCTACTGGCCTCGGTCGACCATTTCTTCTACATACATTCAAGTATTATGTTACATTTAGAGTAACAGGCAGGCCATATTCTTCATATAGTTAAAGTCCTGGTATCTAGCATAAGCACCACTGTCTTTGAAACAGTTGCTTTCATACGAGCTGTCACTGCCAGCAACCCAGTGTCCGTCGTTCACGCATGAAGTCATTCTTCGAATATTTTAGGTTTCTTTCGAAATACTGCAGGGCATTATGGTGGCTTGCTTCGTCTGATGCTTTTGTGGTCTAGCATCGCACGACGTTAACCTGGCTGACAAAATCCAGCATCTTCTACCTTGAACTAGAAGGGAAAGGATACAATCTGGGCAAAAATGATCGTCACATTGGTAACAAAATATTATTAGCCTGCAAAAAGGCATAGTACCATCTTGCAACTTGCCATAGGAGAACTTCGGGGTGACATACCGTAGTTCCATGACTCATACGTATGTCGATAATTTCATCGATTTTCCAGGAGAAAGCGACGAAAACTATCGTCCTGCCTAAAAATACGTCCGATGTCAAGAATAAATATAATTGATGCTCGGATATTCCTAGAGATTTTTATCCAACTATCGATTGTGTAGCAGGACCAGTCGGCGCTGTTATATGACCAGAAATGAAAACTATACTTCGATGCTTATTAGATACTTAGAGATGGTCTTAGCCATTACGTTAAGATGTGTCCTTCTGTTGAAGCTAAAAGACTTCAGTTTTGGCAAAAAATTCGACCTGTAATAACTCGTGCAGTGCACTATTTATTGTCATTAGTGGGCTCGTAGCTCATACACTATAGCTCAGTATGATAAGTATACCACTTGCTCCTATATTAGGAATGGAAGGGTGAGCTGCTTCGGAGAAATCGATTCAAACTTGAGACCTTTTAAAGTAATTTGGGAGTCAGACCTACCTACTTAACCATTAACGGTTTATCAATCAACTTAGTTAAGTCGACGGCAGGGCAATCGGGCCTGCAACTTCAACATTACCAGAGGTAAGGCCATATCTAGCTCGTATCTGTGATCTACATCTATCCTTTGAATATGTGACGTGCTACGAAGTTCCTGTTAGGGATCATCGTTAGTATATATATACGACAGCTAAAGCAGTTCTATACGATGCTTTAGTCGTGATTTGCGCAATCCATAACTGGTCCATATTGCGCTAGCCAATTAAATTGAAGTTATTCAAAGTTAAAGTTGATAATAGCGGATACATGGATAGGAATAGTAAAACCTAAATTTAGATCTTTTGCAAAGAAATTACAATAAATAGATTTTATAT